ATTGTTTTTATAGGACTTTGTCATGCTCATGAAAGCATCAGCCAGTGCCAAATACTGAGAGGCAGTGAATGTGGGATACACAATTTATTCTTGGTTTGGCCTTTTATATCAACTGGTGGACGGTAAGCAGAAAGAAATCTTTTATGCTACTTTTAATTGAAAGCACTTCTTGTGCTTTCAAACTCATTTTCTGATATATACTTGGATTTTGTTCTTGGATTTCTAACAAAAACAGGGAACTGCTATTTGCTTGGGCTAATTGTGCTGCTTGTTTACTTTATTGAAATACAGTAAATAACAAATCTCTTAAACAGGATGAATCTATTTTGAAGCTTTGCTTTAGCTTAAAACTTTCTGTGATTATTCACATCCATCATCACAGACAAATCATTTCAAAAATAGAAAGATAATAATATACTATATTTTATATATACAGTATATATCAGAAAATGAGTTTGAATGAAACGGATGCTTTAAAGCACATAACCTTGAATTAAAGTTTAACTCCTCATGGAAGCATTTAGGTATTTATTAATTTCAACAATTTCTGCATAATAATATTTCTTGCTTCATGATAGTTAGTCTAAATATTACAGTTATTTAAAATAGTAACTTTTTATGGAAAATATGTTACTAAAGATAATTTGTGTATATTGGTACTGATCCATAATTTGATTAATCTGAAGGTGTTATGTTTTAAGGACTTTCAACTTGCAGAAATTCTGAAACACATATATTTATGAAATACACAATGGATAGCTATTCATTTTGTTTTTATATAAGGACCTTGTATTCAAATCCTAGCATTTAAAAGCAATGCTCATATGCAGACACATGCAGACACATAATTTTGTCTTTACATTAAATTCGTGCACTCTGATTGAATTGTTTTATAGAATATGCCACATTTTTGTTAAAAAGAAAAAGAAAAAACAATTGGAATTTCAGAGCTGTAGGCTAGATTAGGAAACTGGAGAGAAGATTATTTAAAATGGCAGTGGTAAATCATGGATGTGTCTATTAAATCACCAGGAAGTGAGTTTAACTTGAGGGAGTGTTTATTCATCTGTGAACAATATGCAGAAACCACAGATTTATTTTTATTACTAAATAACTGACTTCAGCTATTTCTGTTAGTTTCCCAGATCATTTGGCAAGCCACTGTTGAGAGACAGTTTATTAACACCTTTGGTCTGTGACTTTTCTTGACTTCTCAAATCCTGATGAGTGAGAGAATGTACAAAAGATTCTGAAATATCACTTCAACATGCAACAATTAAATAAAGATCAGTTTGTATTATTGCAGGGGTTCAGAAATAATCTGAACTTTTGAATACCGTAGTATATCAGAAACCTAGTATACTGTTTTTCTCCACCTGGATTTTATGTAGTTCCAACTAATACTAGGTAGATAAATAGGGCCAGATTGACTTTTTGGCAGATTTCAATAAATTTATTTTGTGTATTTATTTAGGTATTTAAAATATTTGTATAGCCACCCATCTTAAACACAACTCAGGGCAGTTCACAACAATAAAATTAAGTATAAAATCATAAATCTTAAAACTATTTTTAAAAAAGCAGCACCTCAATTGGAGGTCCCGTAACTCTCTCCAGATACCCTCATTCTATCTCACTATATATACATCTTTTAAAGGATTTATATAAGTCAAAATGCTGTATCAGACTTTTTTAGCTATATACCGGTAGCTTTTTAAGGTAATTACCATACCCAAAAGTAGCTGTTTTGGAAACTTTTAACAGTGATGGTTGCATTGGGCTTGATTGTGTTCCTTGCAAATTCTATCACATAAACATAAATAGATAAAATATTATTTTCAAGATTGTTTAAGGAATGAGAGGGCCCACACAACAACAGATATGGAAACATCCTTCCATATCAGTTCTAGAGCAATATTCTAAGTAGATTCTACAAAATGAGATGTAGGAGGAAGAGTCAATACTCTTTAGAAGAAAAAACTTTTTCTACTGATGATAGAAATAACTTTTTCTACAGGAAAAAAACAGACTCACTTACCATGCAGTAAATCCTGCCTAGGAGAATAATTTTATTGCTGATGTACTGTCTTTGTAACAAGAAGAAGAGTTGATCCCCCAACAAATAATGGGTTAAATCCTGCTGTTGGGGGTAGGGGGAATTATCAGTTTCAAATTTGGAGTGGTGGAAAGGACAGAATGACTGCTAACCTCTAATACAATTATATTTTCCAAACTTAAAATCAAGTAGAGGGAATGTATACAATAAATTGCCAGCGTGAGAATGTCAGCATCCTGGCATATTGTAACAGATTTTTCTCCAGAATTATTAGAGGGTCATTGTATAATCATCCAAAATAATTAATAACAGAATAACAGAGTTGGAAGGGACCTTGGAAGTCTTCTACTCAGGCAGGAGACCTATACCATTCCAGACAAGTGGCTGTCCACTCTCTTCTTAAAAGCCTCCAGTGATGGAGCACTCACAATTTCTGAAGGAATACATAGGAGAATTATTATTAGCTATAATTTACAAGGTAGTTATGATTGCTTGAGGGTGTTTTGCTCCACTGAATTCAGGCAGTATATAAGGATGTAACAACTTGTTCCAAGTTCAGTTTTAGTTCTCCTATGAAAAAACAGCTAAATGACTAGTCAAAATCAGTTCTCTCATTTCACTAATAAATAGCAGCCATGTAATAGCAGCCTCTACTCTATGAATAATATTATTTATTAAAGATGTCAAAATCCAAGTGGAATACAATGATTTTGCTAAAGGGAACAAATGCAGGCTTACAGCAGAGAAAACAAGTGGAAAAGAGGCATTATGAAAAGTTGTTGGCTTTGAAAATAATCTGATGTGAAAATATAGTCTTGAGAGAGCTTCTGTGGCAGGGAGAAGAAATAAGCAACAGAAGAGTTTTGGAATACAGTACTTTGAGTAAAAATGTAGAATTGACATTGTAACAATAGTCTTGAAGTTATTTAGGATTACATAGCAGGTGGGAGTATATATAGGCAGTCCTCAATTTACAACAGTTAATTTAATGACCTTTCAAGTTACAACAGCACTGAATAAAGTGACTTATAACTATTTTTCACACTTATGACTTTTGGAGGATCCTCATGGTCATGTGGTCAAAATTCAGATGCTTGGCAACTGACTCATATTTATGATCATTGCAGTGTCCCAGGGGTCATATGATCATTTTTTGCAACCTTCTGACAAGCAAAGCCAATGGGGAAGCCAGATTCACTTAACTGTATTACTAATTTAAGAATTTCTATGTCTCAACTATGACAAGAAAGGTCGTAAAACAGGACAAAACTCACTTAGCAAATGTCTTACTTAACAACAGAAATATTGGGCTCAATATTGGGCTCAAGTAAGAACTACCTGTAAGAGATCTTGGCTGATCTTGAAAAAGTAAGCATGGTCAGGCATGATGAGAAAGCCACTAGGAAAATCTCAGAATTGCAGCTAAACTAGGAGTTGGAGATGCATTCCAGAAGGTAATAGCAAAATATTTCCATACTATGGAATATATATGAATGTGACTCTGTTGAGAAAATTGAGAATTAACAGAACTAGTAGTGTAATACCCTTTGGAATCAACTGCCCCTGGAGCTCCGGGTGGCCCCCGACCTCCGTTCTTTCCATCGCAACCTGAAAACGTGGCTGTTTCGTTTGGCTGGCCTGGACTGATGGGGTTTTAATTTTTAACTTGTTAGTCTTGTTAGTCTTAATTGCACTTTTAACTGTTAAATTATGAGATTTGGATGTAATTTCTTTTTAACTTTTTCATTAGATGTTTTTTACTGTTGTGAGCCACCCTGAGTCCGGCTGGAGATAGGGCGGCATATAAATCTCATTAATAAATAAATAAATAATACTGTAAGGGTGACATGGTCTGCTTCTGGCAGCATCGAAGGAGAAGATAAATAAAAGCTATCTGAAAGTTACAATAAATCAATATGGCCCTATTATATAACTACTGTGTCTCAGATGTGGGAATAGAATACAATAGAATAGAATAGAATTTTTTATTGGCCAAGTGTGATTGGACACACAAGGAATTTGTCTTGGTGCATATGCTCTCAGTGTACATAAAAGAAAAGATGAAAAATAATGAAGGCATTTGATAGTAAAATAGTATCAAAAACTAAGCAACAAATGAGCCTCCTTATGCAGGCATCCTACACAGAAAGCCAATACTACGAGAGGCCTTTCCATGCTACTAGCTATTTTGAAGGTCTTACTCTGTGAGTAAACATACATGGGGATAATATTTTTACTATCAGGAGAGCAGTGAGGAAAATGCTAACTCTTGACTTTGTATTTCCTTCTGTTTCTTTTGGCATTTTTGTTGTAGTGGTTCTGGAAAAGTTGAGACAAAATGGATCTTACTTAAGCATCAAGACCATCCCAAAGATGTTTTTTCAAAAGGCAACTGGCCTTTCTGGTTTTTCTTTGAAGATGTTTTGCTTCTCATCCAAGAAGTTTCTTCAGCTCAGCAACATCTTCAAACAGAAAGGCCAGTTGCCTCTTGAAAAAACACCTTTGGGACAACCATGACCTGAATGACTGAGAATCTCCATAGACATTAAGCATCAAGAGACTTCAGATTCCATGGAATAGTAGTTCCCATGTTACAGCCATGCAAAATTCTTTTGTCACTATGGAGGAGAGAGGGAATCTGAATCTAAAATTGTGTCTCCCATGTCAGAAAGCAGTTGCCAGTCTATTCAATGGCTTCTTGTGGCGTAGTGAGTTTGAACAGGACAGTACAAAATCGATTGTTATATTATAGTTCTCAGGACAAAAGGAATGGAGTAATATATTTTTAATCCCTTTAATTTTACAAACAATTAGATGAGGATGACAAAGCTTATAATCTTTTCCAAAGCATTATTTGTCAGATAATATATTGGGGGATATAACTGTTTTTTTTTCTCATGATAACTTTCTTATTATTTGCCATTTTATATTTTATTTTTAATAGAGAAAGAACAATTGTTTCAGAATTTGCTGGAGCAGGTGGTTGAGCAATTTTCAAGGTAACCCTTTTACTATACAATAATTTTAAAATTACGGAACTCCCATAGAATTCTTTAGTTCTGGTTCTGCTCCTGCCCTGGCCCTGAGGCTGATTTGCAATTTGCATCCTTAGAGCTCCATGGAACTAGGATGCAGGGCCATTTCCAGAATTGTAGGAACCTCACCTTGCCTGTCCTCACTTGAACTTGGTGCTTCTCTAGTCAATTTCATAAGCAACCAAATCAGCAAACCTGATCTTCTAGTCAGTTTCTAAATTCCTGCAAAAACTGAAAGTTTTATTTTCTCTGCTTGTATAAAGGGTATTCCTGGATACTTGCCCCATTTCACTGACAATCCCACATCTGGTTTCAGGGAGACCCCATTTACAATCTGTACAATTAGAGAATCTACCCTACCATGGCTGTAGCTAGTGGAAAAATCCCTGGCCTCTAGCTAGAATTTACACCCTGCCATTAACTTAGTTTTCTGTCATATTTCTAACATATTTCTAGCTCCCTCTGCTCCTGGCACACAATGGCCCGATAGGGCCTGTTTTTCTCTCTCATCTGGCTCCAGGGCCTCTCTAGGAGTCTGGGGAGGGCGAAAATGGCAAAAGTGTTGCATCCGGCCGACGATCACATGAAGCAAGTGCACAGTTCATTGGTCCACCTGCTGGCATTCTGCAGGCAGGAACTTGGAGCCCCCTGATTGGATAAGCTGCTGACAGCTCGAGTATAAAAGAGCTGTCAGTTCAGAGAAATCGGCTCGCTCCCTCAGTCGTTAGCATACTGAGAGAGAGTTGTGGTTAATTGTTGTTAATAAAGAGCTGTTAATTGTTAACCTCGCCTCCGTCATTGCCGCTGGTTCTAAACTAGAACACCCACCCTCCCGGAGGTCCACCAAATGCCAGAAATGACCCTTTTGCCAACTTCTGGCGGGACCGGAAGTTGTCAAATGGGCCATTTTCAGCCTCTAGAGGACCTCCCGGGGAGGTTGGGGAAGGCCATTTTCGCCCTCCCCAGACTCCTGGAGAGGCCCTGGTGCCAGGTGAGAGAGAAAAATGGGCCTTCCCCACCTCCACCCCCGAGGCCCTCCGGAGGCAGGAAACAGCTTGTTTCCCTACTTCTGGTGGGCCCAGAATGCCTGAAAATCAGCTGGCCGGCACGCACATGTGCACCGGAGCTGAGCTCGCATGCCCACTGATATGGCTATGCGTGCCACCTGTTTGCCACCCTACAAAAATATGCACAGGGATTTGCTGCTAAGGAAACATTCACCTGTTGCATTGTACAGGTAGTCCTTGACTCACAACAGTTTAGTGACCGTTCAAAGTTACAACACTGAAAAAAATGACATAACCATTTTTCACACTTATGACCATTGCAGCATCCCATGGTTGCATGATTTACATTTGGATGCTTGACAATCAACTCACATTTATGACATTGCAGTATCCCAGAGTCATATGACCCCTTTCTGCGACCTTCTGGCAAGCAAAGTCAATGGGGAAACCGGATGCACTTAACAATCATGTTACTAATTTAAGAATTGTACTGATTCACTTAACAAATGTGGCAAGAAGTCATAAAATGGGGCAAAACTCACTTAACAAATTTCTCACTTAACAGCATAAATTTTGGCCTCAATTGTGGTCATAAATTGAGGACTATCTGTTTACACTTTCTTCATATTGAAAATTGTCTTCATTATAGCCGAAGTTTTTTTTAAAAAGTGTACATTTAATTTGAATCAATTTCATAAAATTATAATTAGCCAAAATCATGGCCATTTCATTATATTTGAATAAACATGGATGAGCAGTTGCTTATTCTAGAAGTGTAAAACTGTATATCTCTATAAATTTATATTTATATCTAAGAAATAAAGCAGTCCTAACATGTATATTGATTCCTTCATTCTCCAGTATTTCAGAGAAGAATTGTTTTACATGTCACTCATGGAAGGAGCCTTATCTTTCCTTCTAATCTGAATTAAATGGGGAACCTTTATGGATAGGAGGGGATCCAGAGGTGGGATTCACTTACCTTCCCTACCGATTTGCAAATGTGAACTCGTGCGCGCTGGCTTCACTCGCACACCAGTGGTGGGTTGCTCCCAGTTCACACCAGTTCACAAGAACCGGTAGTAAAAATTTGTAGTAGTTCGGAGAACTGGTAATAACATTGGCTGGCCACATCCCTGAACCGGTTCCCTGCCCGGTCACCGCTCGCTTACCCCGCCCAGCTCATCAGAGGTTGGGGGGTTTTTTTACTTTTAAAAGCATTTTTTCTACAACCTGCGTTTAAAAGTAAAAAAAAAAAAGGCTCTGTTGATTGTGCAGCTCAGCTGGGATCATCAGAGGCTTTTAAAAGCATTTTTTCTACAACCTCTTCAGCTGAAGAGGTTGTAGGGAAAAAAATGCCTTTAAAAGCCTCTGGCGATCCCAGCTTAGTTGCCTGATCATCAGAGGCTTTTAAAAGCATTTTTTTCTGCAACCTCTTAAGGTTGTAGAAAAAATGCTTTTAAAAGTAAAAAAAAAAGTTGGTCACGCCCACCCAGTCACATTACCCCCCACCAAACCACGCCCACAGAACCAATAGTAAAAAAATTTAGAACTCACCCCTGTCGCACACGCCACATCTGCGCATATGCATGGCCTTCTGCGCATGCATAGTAGTCGCACATTACGTCTGGGTAGGTGGGCAGAGCCTCCCTCAGTAGCCGGTTGTATGTAAGATCCTCATATCAAAAGCTGATCCTTAGCTGGGAAATAGTAATTGAACCTCTTTAGTTGTTTATTTTTGAAGTATCTTTCAGTGCATTTAGATATTAACTTTCAGCATTTATTTTCCCATCAACAAATATTATGTTTTTCATGCATATCTTCCTACTTAAATTTGGGGCTGTTGTTATTTCCTCTCCAGGGTATTTAAAATTGATGAATTGAAAACTGAAGTATTTAATCAACTGGCAATGCTGGAGAAGAGAGTGGAACGTGAGTTCTTTTTTTCTACTCATAGAACAGAATAGAAACTTTATTGGTTTAATCATCTGACCATATTAAAAATATAAAACCAATACAAGTATACCAGTAAATATAAAGTAAAAAAATAGTAAGGCACATTCCTGACAAATTGTCACATTATAATTAACCCCAATTGGATCTAAATAATCTGTCCTCTTCAAAATGGCCTTTGATATAAAGACTGTGGTCTTATTAGTGATATGTAGGTTCATTCCCTGCAGTAAGTAACATACAGTAGTTGCTCCTGGGTGCCCCAATATTTTTTGTTGTTTTTAAATACTCTAAATAACCAGTCCTTTCTGCAGAATACAGTTTGCAATCAATGATGATATGTGCAATGTCTTTAACTGCGGGTGCACCAGAAATACACCATTTCTGTCCAGACGGAACTCCATAAAATCTCCCATGAAAGATAGATAAAATCTATCATGAAATCAGGTTGTTCAAAACGATCTCTAGAAAAAGCTCTTTGTTTTTGAGGTGTATAAGTTGTTAAATATTTTTCTATCTGGGAGGCTGATTTGGGTTGAGCCAACCATCTCAAGGAATGTGATACAATATCATCTTGGGCAGCCACATCCATTGACAGTTTCTCTGAAACATTTCTTGGCCTTCAGATGTGATTGGACTGGGAATTGGATAGAGAATCAATATTGTGAGATGGCATGTGAAAGGTGGGCATCCCAAACATGAGGGTGCTTGTTATGCAAATGTTCATCAAAACCAAGTGTGAGGTTTTCTCTAACAAGCTGAAGCCTAGAATAAATTTGTACTAGTGTGAGATTTTAATCTTTTTATGAATATACAGTACCTAATGCCTTCTTTTTGGCAGGGTAAAATATAGTATTGGAGAAAGAGAAGAGGGGAAAGCAACCTTTCAAGTCCAAAATTCTTCTTTCTCATCTTGCATCTTTTGCACAGAAATGTAGTATAAAATCTTTAATCCTGTGCAGTAAATCTATATTCTCCTAAATAACCTGAGAAGATTCTGAGCTGGATTGCATTTCTAGATAGGATCCTTCAGTTGTGATTCTTTCTCTGAAAAGCAAGATGAAGGCCATGTTCAAAGATGTTCTGAGTACTGCCTAAGTTCAGTGGCAGATTTGCTGAGAACAAAATCAGCAATATTCTAAAATTCTAAGAAACCTTTTTATTGGATCCTAAAAATTAGGAATATTTAAAATGCAGTTCTTTGGGTGGGAGGTGGAAAGTATATTGTAGATGACTAGGCTGAACCCCAGGGAAGGGTCAAACATGTCATCAATCTTGAGTCCCTTTACGCCCACAAGAGATCTAAGTCCAGCCCACATTGAATTCCATTTCCTCTTATGTACCGCCAATTTGCTGAACAATTTGCTTTGTTCAAATTCTTATAGAGAGCTTTAGCGTACAATAAACCTATAAATTCATTTGAACTGCCTGGACTCCTGATTTTCTGAGCTTGACATATATTTTTTAAAGCTAAGAAAGAAGTGATACAACAAATTCACATGTATCTAACAGCCTTTTTTGTTAAGACCTTATGTAATCAATACTTTTTGATTGATTATGAGCCATCAGAAAATCAATTATTATAATACTTTAAAATGATAATTTTGCGTAATGGAATTTTTTATCTTTCACAATCTACATATAATAAAGGTTTATGTCTGCAAATTACAGCCTTGTAAAAATAAAATTATCAGAATTTGGTGAAAAACAAGGTTCTGATGGGAGGATTTTTCCTTTAAACACTCAAATTCATATGCAAATAGTATGACAGAAAAATACAACAATATGAAATGGAATTCAGGAATGTATGAACATTTCATTAAAATTATTATTGAAACAGACAAATGTATAATGAGCCCAAAGGACTGAAACTTTCTGTCTTAAATAGCTTCAAAGATTTCAATTAACTGTTTTTCTTTATGAGTTTTCAGTATACGTTTTTGTACAAATGAAATTTGGAGCCACTAGTATTTTCATGTAGTGACACGGAAACACAAATGTGTTCAAATTACTGCTGGGGAGACTTAGTTCAATATACGTTCACATCCTGTTTATCCCCAAGTGAGAATCTGAAGTTTCTAGTTTATAAATGTCTATGACACACATGAATGGCCATTGATAAGTGAGAAGAGGCCATGCCTCTTTACAGAGACTGAAGTATTTGAAAACTACTAAAAATAAAGATTGTTCCAGTTGCTTGCAGAGGTTTGTTGTCAGTGCTGCCCAGCAGGAAACATGCAATGCTGGTGTGATGAATGTCCCAGTCAGGCTGAGAATTTATTGCTGAGCAGTTCATAAACATTATAATGCCAGTGTAAAGGTAGTTCCAGCAAGTTTGTATGGGAGGAACATTACAGGAAAACTGCCTCATAAAGTGATTCTGTACCAAGAATATACCAAGAATATATTGATTCACATTCTTTCGTACTGTACGTGGTATTATGAGCAGCACATGCTACCTCCTCTCCACTGCTTAAAAGAACCAGTTTCTTTCTATCTATCCTCCTAATATGCCAGTTAGGACACCAGGCTGAGAAAAAGTTGGCCCAGAGCTTAGTGTTACAGCTGGTGCTTCTATATAAAGAGCTATCATGAAACCATTTTTTCATTTAATTAGATGCTAAATGGAAACCCAATGAAGCATTGTCACTATATAGTGTTTTGTATTAATATAGTATATTATAGTAGTGCCACAGCTTGCTGCTTTCATTTATTCCTATTCTAAGAAATAGTCCGGGGAAGCTGAAGAATGGCTGGATGTTGCTGCTGTGGCTTACAATAGTGATGTAGCTACTTTTCTGCTACTTCTAATGTTACTCTTAGTGTTGTATTATTTGAATGATTGATTCTATTTGCAGTACCTGCCCATAGAGAAACAGGTTTCAGGTTGAGGGGCTGCTGAATCACCGGCCTGCTGTTTGGTGGCTTTTGAAATTATACTCAGTTACTGCAATGAGATCCTTCGAGCTTCTCCATGGTAACCTTCCTGTTGTTTTACTTTGTTGACAGTGGAAGGACTGAAAATAGTGGAAATTGAAAAGTGTAAGAGTGACATTAAAAAGATGAGGGACGAAATGGCTGCAAGAAGTACCAGGTAAGCTTTGTGTTTTGTTGCTTGTGAAGAAAAGCACTTCTGAATAGCCACTTCTGCATTGGGAAAGTTCTGAAGATTTATTTAGCAGCTAATCCAGAGATACCCAGGATAGAGTGTGATGGTCAGTTTAGTCTTGGACATGGAGAGCCAGGGTCAAGTCTCCATTTCACCTTGAAAACCCCAAGGTGGCTTGGCCACCTCTCGCCCCTTCTGTTCAACATTTATGTGAAGCCGCTGGGTGAGATCATCCGTGGTTTTGGGGTGAGGGTACATCAGTACGCTGATGACACTCAGCTGTACATCTCCACCCCAGACCACCCCAGTGATGTCCTTGACGTGATGTCCCGCTGCCTGGAGGCTGTACGGGTCTGGATGGGGAGAAATAGGCTCAGACTTAACCCTTCCAAGACCAAGTGGCTGCGGCTACCAGCGTCCCGGTATAGTCAGCTGACGCCATCACTGTCTATAGGGGATGAATCTCTACCCCCCACAGAGAGGGCTTGCAATCTGGGCGTCCTCCTGGATGCACGGCTGTCTTTAGAAGAGCATATGACGGCTGTGGCCAGGGGGACTTTCTATCAGGTTCGCCTGATTCGCCAGTTGCGCCCCTTTCTGGACTGGGACACCTTGTGCACAGTCACTCATGTCCTTGTTACCTCCCGGCTGGACTACTGTAATGCTCTCTACATGGGGCTCCCCTTGAAGAGCACTCGGAGACTCCAACTAGTCCAGAATGCGGCCGCGCGGGTAATTATGGGTGCAACTCGTTGCGCCCATGTGACCCCCCCTCCTGCGTGAGCTGCACTGACTCCCGGTGGTCTTCCGGGTGTGCTTCAAGGTTTTGGTTACCACCTTTAAAGCGCTCCATGGCTCAGGACCTGGGTACTTACGAGACTGCCTTCTGCCACCGATAGCCTCCCACCGACCAGTTCGCTCCCACAGAGAGAGACTCCTCAGGGTGCTGTCGGCCAAATTATGTTGGCTGACGACACCCAGGGGGAGAGCCTTCTCTGTGGGAGCCCCTGCCCTTTGGAATGAACTGCCCACGGACATACGCAAGATCTCTGACCTCCGAGCTTTCTGCTGTGCTCTTAAGACCCTGCTCTTCCGACAGGCAGGGCTAGCTTCATAATTGAGTTTTAAATTCAGAGTTCTTAAATTTTTTGGGGTTTTTTAGCTAATTTTGGCCTTAAATGTAATACTTTTAAGAATTTTTTAAATTTAAATTGTGATATTTGTATTGTGTTTTACCTGGCTGTACACCGCCCCGAGTCCCTCCGGAGAGGGGCGGTATAGAAATAAAATTATCCTTATCCTTATCCTTATTATTGCCCAATCCATTTCACAGGGTTATTGCTGGATCAAAATTAGAGAAGACGACTAACTTGTGCTCTCAGAGAAAAGGTGGAATATAAATACAGTAAATAAATCAGTATTAAATTAATGTTCCCTAGAGCTCTGGGGAAATGGTGGGATATACCGGTAAATTTAATAAATCAATAAAAGTGGGTAAAATCCAACATTTAAAAAAAAATTATTTAAGTAAATTATATAGCTACCCATCATTTAGTAGTGACTCCGGGCAGCATGTAAGATTAAAATCAAGAGTGGGACTTGCTTCCAGGTCAATGTGCATAGGACTGCCACCTAATAAACCAAATAATGTCTCATTTTCAATGGTCATTATTCACAAATTATGAAGCTTCTTGGTGTTTTTTAAATCAGTATGGGAAAAAAAGACAAGATTCATTAGTTTTGTTTAAGAACATATGGCCACTTAATAGTTAAAGAGTAACTGGAAAAATAACTCTTGGAAAGATTAACATCTTGGTTTCCCTCCATTAAGCCATCCGGTAATAAAGACTTGTGCCCTTGGTTTCATGCAGAGAACAAAAATTATTCTGCCAAAAAAAACATTAGTTTGGTAACAGACTCACTTACAAGAAGTAGACCTGCTCCGATACAAAATGTAATCTGAGAAAACATCACAATATATACACAGCAACTCCTCTTGCACTATGAGAGAATGTGTATGTTATATTTTAACCCCCCAAATGAGTTGTTTCCTTTTTACGGAAGAAGCCAGTCAACTAATCTGATAAATTACCAGGTTTGGAATTGTAATTAAAACAACAGCAGAAGCAACCATTGCTTGGTATGGCAGACTTTGTGAATTTAAAAACATCAGGCTGTTCTGTAGCCACCATTCCTCATACCACAAGCGCATGAGCAGCTAAACAGACATTTAAAACTGTTATGGAAGGAGAGGAATAGGGAATCATTCTGAATCTTAGTCAAGAAAATGTTGTGTACCTGCATCTCAAATGCAGACTGACTTATCTATCATGACCTGGGATGTGTGGGGGAGGGGGAGGGGAGGAAAATATTAAATTATACTATTATCAATTGTGGAAAATTATGTCAAGATGTGAGACTTGTATACTACATTTAACTGTTAAATGTGTACTACATTTAACTGTGTTTCAGTTAATATTTGTGTTTCTTTGCACAGAATTTTACAATTCACTAAAGACAATATTTGTAGAGTTCTTCTGAACAAAATATTTTAAGGGTTTCCTCTTTGTAACCCTCAAAACTTTTCTTTCTACTTGTATCACTTCACTGCCATTTGTCTTGTTGGAAAATGCATATACTCTAAGAATGAAGTTGAACCTTAATATCTTTAACAAAAGTTAAACCACTCATCTAGGTCACAGTTCTAAAATCTACTGGTTACTTCACAATAGTCTTTCAAGGTTTCTTTCTGTGCTCTTTCTTTTACTTGCATTTAATTTTTCAGCACATGTAAGAATATATTTCTTAGGATATGAAAAATAACAAGTATTCAAACCCACAGAGCCCCTGTTTGTTAATTCTTGCAATACTCTGTCTTTGTTCTCTCCTTCTTTTTCCATGCTGGGATATGGGATAGAGTGCCTTTTTGGATTTTACATTGCCCATGAAACTCGTTTGACAGCACTCATAACTTCCAGCTTGCAAAAAACTTTTCTGAACACTGTTATGTTCATTGTCATTTCTTCCTTCCACTGCAATACATCAGCTATATTTTCCCTCTCTCTTGCACACACAAGTTCATTCCTGCAAAGATTGCACTCTTGGTGCAATTTCAAAAGTTGTATTATATAGCAGTGGCCCCCAACCTTTTGGGCACCAGGGACCTGTTTCGTGAAGAAAGGTTTTTCCACGGACCAGAGGGTGTGGTTTTGCATGCTGCTTGCATTCTGTGGATGGGGCTTCACTTGTTTGCGTGGCCCAGTTGCTGGCATGTCATGGCCGGGTGCTGGTCCACAGACCAGGGCTTGGGGACCCCTGTTATATAGCATGCACAGCCATCTCAGTTTAAACAGGTAGCTTTTGCATTAGCATCTGAATCTAGTTCTTCAGGACAAACTTAGATCATTGCTATGAATTATTCATATTCATTTCATAAAAATATCATTTGTGTGTGCATATGCACATTCATATGAGCGTTGTCCTGAAAAGAGATACTTATTGAATAAAATGACAAAGTTTCATGCTTCCACGGTAACATGACTTGATATTTTGCTGCAGTGGTATTTACCATTTGGGGTAACTGATATTATGGAATGTACAAAAGAGGAGCAAAAAAATAGTAAGCAAAAAAATTTGAAGGCACAAAAAAGGAAAAAGGAAAGGAAGCCTAAAGTACCTAAAAATAGCACATGCCATTACCATTCCCTATATGTCTCCACACCCGGAGGCTCCAGCTGGTCCAGAATGCGGCCGCGCGGGGGATTATGGGGGCGACGGGGCACTCCCATGTGACACCTCTCCTGCGCGAGCTGCACTGGCTCCCGGTGGTCTTCCGGGTGCGCTTCAAGGTGTTGGTGACCACCTTTAAAGTGCTCCATGGCTTAGGGCCGGGGTATTTACGAGACCGCCTTCTGCCACCAATAGCCTCCCACCGGCCAGTACGCTTGCACAGAGTGGGCCTCCTCAGGGTGCTGTCCGCCAGACAATGTCGGCTGGCGACCCCCAGGGGGAGAGCCTTCTCTGTGGCAGCGCCCACCCTCTGGAACAACCTCCCCCCAGAGATACGTACAATTTTTTTTTTTTAATTTTGATTTATATGCCGCCCTTCTCCGAAGACTCAGGGCGGCTTACAATGTGCTCAGCAATAGCCTTCATCCTTTTGTATATTTATACAAAGTCAGCTTATTGCCCCCACAAACTGGGTCCTCATTTCACCTACCTTAGAAAGGATGGAAGGCTGAGTCAACCTTGAGCCTTGGCGAGATTCGAACCCTGCAGTAATTGTAGGCAGCTGGTCTTAATAAGCTTAATAACAGGGTGCCTTAAACCCCTGTAGTACCAAGGCACAATAACAGACCTCCGGAGAAGGTCTCCCCAGAATATTATTTCTATTTCAAAATATACCCATAAATTTAGATAAAAAATTCTTTTTAGAACTAGACAAAATTATTAGAGAATTCATATGGGAGGGGAAAAAACCGAGATTTTCCATTAAAATTTTAAGGGGCAAAAGAGACATAGGTGGATTTGGACTCCCGGACTGGGAAACATACTACAGGTCAGCCAAGCTAGTATGGATAAAAGATTGGATCACCCTGGAAAATAAGAGAATTCTTACCTTAGAAGGCCATGACCTGCAAAAAGGCTGGCACGCCCACATCTGGGAAACGGAGAAGAAAAGGAAGACACATTTTCATAGACACAAAATTAGAGATTCCCTGATACAAACATGGACCCAGATTAGGCAAAAATATTACAAAAAAATCCCAAATTGGCTCTCAACGATGGAGGCCCTGACCCACCCAAATAGGTGGGAGAGGGAGAAAATGGGCAGATATAAAGATATCCTAGACGAAAGAGGGTGGCTTAAACCAAATGATATCTTACGAGAGCAAGGAATAACTTTAGATTGGTGGACTTATGCACAAGTAAAATCCAGATATCAGAAAGACAAAGAACAATATGGTTTAGAACTGGGATCAAACGGACTGGATAAAGTCTTGATGGGAACAAACAAAAAGATTCTGGCAAAACTATACAATTATATATTAAACGATTACAAGTTCGAAGATGTCACAAAGAATCAAATAATTGCATGGGAGAAAAATATAGGGCGCAATATAAATTTTGGGGAATGGGAGGAGGCATGGAACAGAAATCTTAAATTGACTAGAGCGGTGACATATAAGGAAAACCATTACAAAATGTTTCATAGATGGTACTTAGCCCCGGCCAGACTAGCGAAGATATATCCCAATATACATCCCAATTGTTGGAAATGTGGCCACGGTCAAGGCACCTTCTTTCACATGTGGTGGACATGCCCGGAAGCAAAAGGATACTGGAATAAAATTAGGAGATGGTTATATGAAATAACTGATGAAGATATTGCATTAACACCAGAGATTCTCCTCCTGGGAATAATAAAGAAGCCATATAGAAAGGAAATGATGCATTTAATGATCCATATAATTACAGCCGCTAGATTGGCATACGCACAGTATTGGAAAGAGAAAATTCAACCACCAGAAGAGCTTACAATTAAGAAAATACTCGAGTGCGCAGAGATGTCTAAATTAACCTATGAATTAAATGATGAAAAGTCAGTTTACTATATGGTGTGGGAAAGGTGGTACAAGTGGTTGCATGATAGAATGAAAGAAAGATCTAAAGGTGTATTAAATAATGGTTAAAAGTGAGTTAAAATGTCACCAAGTATTATCTATGGAAATAGTTAAAACACTGCACATCCGATACAAATTGAAAAGCTATATTATGTATATGTTGTTTTATGTTATTGTTTGAATGTTTGTTTGTTTTTTCTTCTTATTTCTCTTTTGTTTTTGTCCTTTGCTTTTTGTTTTTTTTTTTTAAAAGAAAACCTCAATAAAGTTTAATAAAAAAAAAATAAAAATAAAATATGAATATTGGGAACGGCAAAAAAAAAAAAAAAAAAAAAATAACAGACCTCCGGATTTTTCGTCGGGCCCTGAAAACTTATTTATTTCAACTAGCTGGGCTGGCTTGAGTTAAATTTTAAACTGATTTCAAATTGGGTTGTTTTTAAATTACGGCCAAAAAATTTAATCATTTTAAACTGTTTTTAAATTTTGTATGTTCTGTTTTTTACTCTGGCTGTTCACCGCCCTGAGTCCTATTGGAGAAGGGCGGTATAGAAATGGAAACAAATAAATAAATAAATACCATTTGGTCTTTGCAAACCATCCTTGCTTCTCCCACATCACTACATCACAATTATACTTTGCATTTTGTGCTTTTAGCTTTTTACAACTTTTTAAAGTTTTAATCAACTCAATCAAACCAAAATTTCTTCTTCCCCTATCACTTGATCCTTTCAGTCTTCATGCATATATATTTGTTTTGCAACTCCATCCTCATTACATCATACATAATATTGGACCATTTGCTAATCTTTCTATTTATTCTTATGCACACTTTTCAACTCCATGTTTGTTTTTTGAATTTATATATGCTGCCCCTTTCATTATCTCAAGTGATTCTGGGTGGCTTATAGTAGTATAAAAACATATACTACTAAAAATATTAAAAGCATGAAAATTAATATTAATATTAATTAATATTAACAACAACTAAGCAAATAAAAGATTAAAACCAGGAGCACGAATCAACCACTCATTCAATCAACCACCTCCAATGCTTATGCAAAACATTCTACAACATAGCCCTGTTCACTATTGTATAATTTTTCAGAATTAATAAATATACAATAAACTTCTTTTCCCATGTTCATACATTTCTCACTGATCTAATGAAAAGCAAAATAATCAGTAAGTATACAACAGACCTACAGGTCTTCCAACTGTAGGAAATATGCTACTTCTACAGCTGGAGACATCCAGTCCCACTTCATTGGTTGTATTCCATAAGTGACTCACTATAAAATCCCCCAAATCCACCTCCCTCTGCTGTGCCAGCCTTTTGAATGAAGTTCCCCCCTCCACCCCCAGGGAGATTTCACTTCCAGTGTGCTTCCTTCCTGGATTTATGGGCAGTATGTCTTTGTGAATTAAACAAACTACTTGCCATGTCCTTGTCTCCCAATTCCCTTTGACCCAGAAAAGCCAATTAAACCAATAGGATTTACTGAGATAATGCACTGTGAAATCAATCAGGATTGAGCCATACCAAAAACAGGGAATAAATGGGCTCCCTCTTCTTTATTTTTCTTTTGACAAAAGAGAAGGAGATGTTTGTTACTTGACAGTGCAGAGGAAACTCCATGGCAAATGGGAAGCCAGTGGGAAGTAGATAAGAGCAGGCACTTATTGGCAGTTTTCTCAATATTTAGTATGGAAAGGGCAAAAGCAAGGACAGAACTGGCCCTTTCAACCATGCCTCACTACCATATCCACTCATCTCCCTCCCTTCCTCCCTCCCTCTCTCTCTCTCTCCCTCCCTCCCTCCCTCCCTCTCTCTCTCTCTTTGGAATTCCTGAAAACAGTGAGTCAGAATGCAAACTCCACTGCAGTTTGGGACACAATTGAGATGCAAATGGCTGTGTGATCAGCTACCAAGGAATGCAAATTGACCTCAGGATTAAAGGAGGTTAGTTTGCAAATGAAATAGATTGTCCTGTGGTAGAATCCTCCATATCAGCTACTTTACATTTAAATAGAGAGATAAAAGAAGTTCCTATTTATCAAGCAAATTTAACAACCATCCAAAGATGTACACAGCTTTGTTTAATTTCTGCTGCTGTTTGTGGTGTATTTTTTTCCTCATGGCAATATGAGAGGCAGAGCACAAGGAAGAAACTGAATATGCCCTTTTCTTACTAGCTTTGCAAGTGTTTTTATTGTATCATTTACCATCTTTATATTTCAGACATTTAGATAATGATTTTATTCACCTTTTGAATAAAATCAGACTATCTATCTGTCTGTCATTCATCTGATTTCTATCTAGCCTTTCATCCTGGAGCTCAATGCAGTATAAACAATATTCCCTCATCAGTTTTTCCACAATAATTCTGTGAGAGACATTAGCAGCTGAGATTGGTCCAAAGTCACTTAGTGAGTTTCTGTAGCTAAGGGTGGATTGAATTCAGGTATCTTGGTCCTAGTTTAACAACTTAATCATTATGCCACTGTGCTGTAATAATTAGAAGTAATAAGTAGAAGAATGAAACTAGTTTTATTTTACCCCATGGCTGAATGTGGTTCATGACATATATGTTACATCAAACTGAGGTATTTTGCCACTGGAAAAAAAGCAAGATGATACCTGCATTTTAAAAAAAACAATTTAAATATTACTTTTGTTTTACAATGGGACAAAGTTCTCATCCACATTTGAAAAGGGTAGGTTAAGAGAAATTGGGAAAGGCATAGTACACAACTTTATCTTCAAGGACCTCATTCCCACTTTCTGTTTCTATTTTGGTAGATTCACTCTTTTATGAATAGTTTACCTATAGTCCTGTAAGACTGCAGTTGTTCTTTTTTCATGAAGCAAAAAACTGGTACACAGTTCTAATCAACAGCCATTACTTTGTAAAATTCCTTCAGTGTTATATTGCTGATACAGACATTGTGTGAGAAAAGATTTCCATATTTTGAAAAGTATGAATTGGATTTCAACTCATAGTTTAATGTTTACACATGCTGGATAATGTAAAAGGGGCCCCACATAAGGAAATAAATGTTTTAGCATAATAATCCTAAGTATTTCTAAATAGAGAATAAGGATTGTTGAATGTCACCTGCATGTTTAAAAGTTTTCTTCAAATAAGTAAATAAATAAAGGTTTCTGCATCTGTAGCATATCTTAGCTTTGGTTTTTTTTCCCCTAAAGACTTAAAATGCACTTTCATATTTGGCAAACAGACCTTCAAATGTTACATTTCTTTACAAATCTCTTAGGGTACTATTTTATTCAGAGGAAAGCAATTTGGTTTGTCTGCTGTGGAAAGGGGGATATTAATTTTGCAAGCGTTATCCTTTAGAATCAACATTTTGATTGTGTTCAATGAGTTTAAATGAAATTATTTTTGTATCACTTATTTACAAGGTTTTTTTAGATACTGAGTGTTGGATTTTGTTTTCTGCACAGGACCAACTGCCCTTATAAATACAGTTTCCTGGATGAAAACAACAAGCTTATACCCCGAAGGGATGTCCCCTCTTATCCTAAGGTATAATGTCATGTAGATACATTCAGAATATCTTTAGACAGAACTGATCATCACAATAACTAAAATTATTCTTGGCATCTTTTGCTTTCCATCAAATAATGCCCAGAGGCTATTATATGCAGGAAGGAAGATTCAAGATCATTACGCCGCCACGATGACACGAGTTTGACATCCCTGCTGTAGAGGGTCCCAGGATGCGATTTGTGAATTATTTTAGCAGTCCTTTAAATATTCCCACTAACTGTTAGTTCTAGGAATGGAATGGATGCTGTGATAAGTGCTTACACTACCGCACTTGCTTTGTCTCCACTGTATGTCTGAGGGCCTTTCACCAGTACTGAGCCCACCCATTCTTGGTGCAGCAGAAATCTTTACCAGCATGAAAAAATCATGTCCCATTGCTGATCTTTTCCTGCCATTGTTTCAAGCAACTGCAGTCATCTAACTCTCCTTCAGAGTAATTAATAATGAACGTAACAGGCTTTATGCAGTTTGAAGCAGGATTTGGTTGTATCAAAATTGGATGGAAACACTACTTTGACATATGTGTAGCTAAAGACAATTTAATGCTGTCTCACTTAAGGACTGGGGATCAGATAAAGATAACATCTCAATAACACAGCAGAAAAAATAGGCTGCCAGGACATGTTTCTGCTATAGTTAGTTGCAAGTGGGAAAAGGCCCATACTCTTTGTGTTTGGGTGGATGGATGGATGGATGGATGTTTTGGGAAGATACCTGATTTTGAAAATAAGCATTTAGCTTAGAGAAAAACTGAAGCTGAGTCATCCAATTTACTGATTGAAAGATAAACAACATATATTCATAATAAAAGTTTGTTTTTCTCTCCAGTACATGCTTTCTCAGGAGACAATAGGAGCTCTTAGGAAACCAACTTTTGATGTCTGGCTGTGGGAACCCAATGAGGTAATGCAGCACTTTGGAAACAAATCCCTGACCTCTCATCCTGTAAGGTTGTTTTGTGGCTTTGTTCGTGATTGCTTGAGGACTCGGACCTTGAACTTAGTGTCATCCAGGACTGCTCTGAAAATATACAAACAGAGTTCAGTGTCTAAAAAGACTGATTCTATATATAGAGGTAGAGTGGAAAAACAAAAGAAATTTCAGCAAAGCAGTTATAATTACAGGATTTCACAAGAGTAGAAGGCAGCAATAGATCAAGGACAGAGCTAATCATAGTTTAGCTCTGTCCTTGCTACAGGAAATGTAGAACTAGATCATTCACACAGATGGCTATGGATCTGCCCTTTAAGATTTTCAATGATGCAGAATTTATCTTGGTAACAGCTGCATTTGCAAGCTGCTCTTACTATTAAGAAACCTCTCATCATGTTCAGCTGCAATCTGTCTTCCTACACATCCATTCTAGGCCTTCCTTTCAGGACAGCAGAGAACAAGACTTTGTCTCCTTTGGTGAGAAAATTCTTCAGATCTTAAAGAAGGCACTGCTTTCTCATTCAATCTTGCTACCATTTAGGCATGAGCTTTTTCCTTTAACATCTTCTCACAGTATCATTTTAAAAGAATTATAAAATATGTAGACCACCTTTATCCATCTTTTATATTGAAAAATACCTTAAAGTGTTTTATACGACAATATAATTAATAAATCACTGCATTACAAATTGAAAAGCATTAAAGCAAAGCTTATTAACTAGATTAAAACTTCACTATCCAAATAAACTACAGTAGAGATGTAGGGATCAATTTAAATTTGATTTGCACCAGCCATTGACATATCATTTGTTTGATTATATTTTCTATTTAATTGTTGGAGGTTCTGCTTTATTTTATGCAATTTACCCCAAAATATACATTTATGCAAAAATTATTTTGTACGAAAAATTACAAAAAAATTCATGCTGAAGGATTACATCATTCCAAAATATGAACTGTTTTGTTTGCATTTTTGGCAGAGGAGGGATGGTAATAGAAAAATGCATTGTGTCATATTTCTGCTGCAATTGCTACTGACTTAGGTGATTATATAAATTTAATTTTAAAGAAATATGTAGCAGATTTCTATTTTGTTCTTTGATTTAGCTAATGTTAAATTCAAAATGTACCCTCAAAAGGAATATGCTAATATGACTCTTTTAAAAAACACCTTTTGAAGTCCCCTAGAAAAAGCATTTCAAAAGTAGGGTTTGCATGTCACGCTAAAGCATAATAAGGTTTATTTTTAGTTTAATCCAAATGTTATTTTAGAGCAGGAAGCTTACTTTGAAACTACATTTTTGTTGGGTTAATTGTTGCAATACAGGGTTAAACAGTGATATGACAATATGGATAGGTAATGTATTTATGGTTTCTTAGTTTATATCCGGTTTATATTCCAACCTACCCTTTAATCAATTTATTGAGACCGCAAAGCGAGTCAACAGAAAATTGTGGGGAAACAAATCAAGAACTGGTTAAAAAGTCACCTGTAAGGCTTATTCTACTTGTTTCTGGCTTCTTTACTAAACTATGGTTAAAGCAGATGATGCTTTAGCATGACACATAAACACATCTGAAGTCAAGGCATCACCACAAAGTATCCTTCATGCCTTTATCATGCACCTCTTTTCCAAAAGCTGCCCAAAGAAAAGTTTCTCATCTATGTTCGTAATGCACAGCCAAGTTGACATGGGAGGAGATATTATGAAAGAATTTGAATCCTAGCTCACATAATGGAATATTGTAAATGCCAAAGTAATTGTATTACTAATACTTAGAGGGAAGAAATGTTCAGGTTTAGAATGCTGAATGGTCAGCATTCGCCACTGAAAAATAGAAATTTATATCCCATGACTGTCATCTTAAAACAACATTTTCCTTGAATGTGCTATTACAACTGATGGTTCAGTCTCCTGCTCTAAAAATGAAAACTAAGTGTTATTTTCTTACAGATGTTCTTTTCTGGGATTGTTCTCTAAACAAACTGTAAAGCAGGTTGTCTAATCTTGGTAACTTTCAGACATGTGGACTTCAACCCCCAGAATTCCTCAGCCATGTTGGCTGAGGAAATTTGAGAGTTGAAGTTCACAAATCTTGCCAAGACTCCCCTGCTCTAAAGCTTGATTTGAAGGGTTTGTACGGGATCGATTCATTACAAAAGAAAAGGAATTTTGTTGTTTTAAAAAATATTAGATTGTTTTATTTAGCATGGGCAGAGAATAAATTTAGAGTCCTGAGAATTGATCCCCTGCCATAGAAGAAGGATACTGAATCATGATATTGAATCAAGAAATAATGGTTGGAACCTAATCAAGGAGAGAAACAACCTGGAATTAAGGAGAATTAAATTGTTGTAACAGTGAGGACAATTAACCAGTGGAACAGCTTGCCTCCAGAAATTGTGGGTGCTCCATCACTGGAGGTTTTAAAGAAGAGACTGGACAGTCACTTGTCTGAGATGGTATATACAGTAGGTTCCCCTGTTGGATTAGAAGATCTCCAAGGTCCCTTCCAGTTCTATTCTATTCTAAATTCTAAATGTTGCTGATTTGAACACAAGTAAACATCCACTGTAATTCTGGGGATTTTTTCCTTATTTGTTAAAAATAAAAAAGCATTACATAGAACAATGTATTATATTGTAATAATATATCATCAGTTATCATTTGGGCTCCCATGACTTGTAAGTTTAATGAGTTTTGGAATTTAAAAAATTAAATTTGTTATTTCTTAGCTGCATTTAATAAGCTATATGCAATTTATTTTTAATACACAAAGAAAATATAAACATATATACTTTTTAAATTTTTCCTCCAGATGCTGAGTTGCTTAGAACATATGTATCATGATTTAGGACTGGTGAAAGACTTTAACATCAACCCTATCACACTGAAACGGTGGCTGGTAAGTTGCCAATGGATTTTAATCAAGAATTTAAGATATTTGTAACTTTACAGATTTGTAAGTCTACAAAAATATATTCTCAATGTAGACTCTAGTACTTGAAATTAGGACAAAAGTTAGCTGAATACAAAATAACTACTGAAAAATTAAATGAAGTAGAGTGCATACTTCATTCTTGGCAACCTGACAACATTGCCAGGCTGTCCATTACAAGTACATGCCACAAGCTATTTTAGAAACCAGGAATAAACAACTTCACTCTCTATTTGTCCCCAGTCCTCCACATATGACTTTCGTCTGTTCTACTCCATGTTAATGTTTTCTAGCTATTGCTGGCTTGAGTGTCTGGTTAGCTTTGCTTTCTTCTAAGTAATTCCCTGCACTATGCACAGAGGTAGAAATGCTCCCTCACCTGGCTCAGTGATCACTGCCCTGCAATTCTCAGATTCTGTTGCAATATTATTAGCAATGGTGTTCAAAGAGCATAATGATGATCACATTTGCTTGATATGCATAAGGTCACTGGCTAAAACTCAAGTGAAACACTTTTAGAGCTTAGAGAGGTCAGTGGGTATTGGCACAACATAGCAACAGTTTAAGGGTGCAATGCTAAAATGCCCTTAGAACGCCATGGTTCATCCAGTACTGAACTCAGAGTATTTTGGGGACTCTTTTTTAAAATGAACAAATTTAAATTATATTCCTAATAGAGTGTTGGGTGATACCATGCTGCCCTTCAACTGTTTTGAATTTCAGCCATTATTAACCCTAGCTATGATGGCTAATGGAAAAGGGATTTTGAAAACATAATCCATAATATCTGGAGGGCACCAGCTAGCCTATCTCTGATCACAATATGTAGCAGCCTGTTAGTTCTTTTATTTGAGTTGCCTTTATTTATTTATTTATTTATTTATTTATTTATTTATTTATTTATTTATTTATTTATTCTATACCGCCTTTCTCCCGTAGGACTCAAGGCGGTGTACAGTCAAGAAAAATATAGACACACAAATATCATAAAATTGCTAATTAAAATTATTACTTAGTTTGGTCAATCAAATAAAACCCAGAATTAGATAACATTTAAAAAATCATTCACATGTTCGTATGTTTAGCCCCGCCTGTTGGAACATCAGGGTCTTGAGGGCACGGCGGAAAGCACGGAGATCAGGGATATTCCGTATCTCCGGGGGCAGTTCATTCCAAAGGGTTGGAGCCCCCACAGAGAAGGCCCTCCCCCTGGGAGTCACCAGTCGACATAATTTGACTGACGGTACCCTGAGTAGTCCCTCCCTGTGAGAACGAACTGGTCGGTGGGAGGCTATTGGTGGCAAAAGACGGTCTCGTAGGTACCCAGGTCCTAAGCCATGGAGCGCTTTAAAGGTGATAACTAACACCTTGAATCGCACCCAGAAGACCACCGGGAGCCAGTGCAGCTCGCGTAGGAGAGGTATTACATGGGCGTAACGAGCTGCGCCCATACTCACCCACGCGGCTACGTTCTGGACCAGTTGGAGCCTCCGGGTGCTTTTCAAGGGGAGCCCCATGTAGAGAGCATTACAGTAGTCCATACGGGAGGTAACTAGGGCATGAGTGACCGTGCGCAAGGCGTCCCGATCCAGAAAGGGACGCAACTGGCAGATCAGGCGAACCTGATAAAAGGCACCCCTGGCCACGGCCGTCAAATGATCTTCTAAAGATAACTGTGAATCCAGGAGGACACCCAAGTTGCGGGCCCTCTCTGTGGGGAGCAAGATCTCATCCCCTATTGTCAGTGATGGTACTAGCTGACTATACCGGGACGCCGGAAGCCACAGCCACTCGGTCTTGGAGGGGTTGAGTCTGAGCTTATTTCTCCCCATCCAGATCCGCACAGCCTCCAGGCAACTGAACATCACAGCAAGGGCATCATTGGGGTGGTCTGGGGTGGAGATGTATAGCTGTGTGTCATCAGCATACTGATGAACACTCACCCCAAAACCACAGATGATCTCGCCTAGCGGTTTTACATAAATGTTGAACAGAAGGGGTGAGAGGACTGACCCTTGCGGCACCCCACAAATAAGGTGCCTCGAGGTTGACCTCTGCCCCCTGCCAACACAAACTGCGAACGGTCAGAGAGGAAGGAGGAGAACCACCGAAGCACAGTGCCCCCTATTCCTAACCCCTCCAGCCGGTGCAATAAGATACCATGGTCGATGGTATCAAAAGCCGCTGAGAGATCTAATAGGACCAGGATAGAGGAGCAACCTCTGTCCCGAGCCCTCCAGAGATCATCCACCAATGCGACCAATGCCGTTTCCGTGCTGTATCGTGACCTGAAGCCCGACTGGAACGGATCCAGATAGACAACTTCATCCAGGTATCGGGGTAGTTGTCGCGCCACCACACTCTCAACAACCTTCGCAACAAAGCAAAGATTGGAGACTGGACGATAATTTGATAATATAGCCAGGTCCAGGGAAGGCTTCTTGAGGAGGGGCTTCACAACCGCCTCTTTCAAGGTGGTGGGAAAGACACCCTCACTCAGAGAAGCATTTATAATCCCCTGGAGCCAGCCTCGTGTAACCTCCCGGGAGGCCAGTACCAACCAGGAGGGACACGGGTCCAATAAACATGTGGCAGCGTTAAGCTTGCCCAGAATCCTGTCTACGTCCTCAGGAGCCACAGAGTCAAACTCTTCCCAGATAACGCTCTCAAGACCTGCCCCCGTCTCCTCCCCTGGATCTACCCAATCGGAGTCCAGGCCTTCCCGAATCTGAGCGACTTTATCATGCAGAAATTGTACAAAATCCTCAGCTCGACCCTTTAAGGGATCTTCCCGTACCCCCACCTGAAGTAGGGAGCGGGTCACCCTAAACAGCGCAGCTGGGCGGTTCTCTGCAGATGCAATAAGAGCGGAGAAGTAGCTAGACTTCGCCGCTCTTATCGCCACTAGGTAGGTCTTAATATAAGATCTCACTTGTGTTTGGTCAGATTCAGATCGGCTTGTCCTCCAATCGCTCTCCAGGCGTCTTTTCCGACGCTTCATCTCTCTCAGCTCCTCAGAAAACCAAGGAGCTAGATGAGATCGGCATCGGGTCAGAGGCCGCAAAGGCACAATGCGGTCCAAGGCCCCAGTAGCCGCCCTGTCCCAGGCGACCACCAGGTCCTCAGTCAAGTTGTGAGCCAGAGTCTCAGGAAATGGCCCAAGCTCCATCAGGAACCTTTCGGGGTCCATCAGGCGCCTGGGACGGAACCATTTGGTTGGTTCCGTCTCCCTGCGGTGGGTGGAAGTGACTTGAAAGTCCATGTGAAGGAGAGAATGATCAGACCATGACAAGGGCTTGATGTCTATATCCCCTATTCTTAGATCATTCAGCCACTGATCAGAGACAAAAATCAAGTCCAGAGTGTGATTCCCCAAGTGGGTGGGGCCTTGAACTACCTGGGTCAGGTCCATGGCCGTCATGGAAGCCATGAACTCCCGAGCCATCTCTGACATCTCACCAGCGGATGGCAGGTTAAAATCCCCCATAACAATAAGTCTGGGGGTTTCTACCGCCACCCCGGCTATAATGTCGAGCAGCTCAGTCAGGACCGCTGTTACGTGACAGGCAGCCAGGTACGCAATCAGTAGGCCCATCTGAATCCCCCGACCCCACTTCACAAGGAGGGACTCACATCCGGCTATCTGAGGAACAGTGGCCTCCCTCGGGCAAAGACTTTCTCTAATGATTGCTGCCACTCCCCCACCCCTTCCCTGAGTCCTTGGCTGATGGAATGCACGGAAACCTGGCGGGTACATTTCCACAAGGGGAACTCCTCCCTCCTGGCCTAACCAGGTCTCCGTAATCCCTGCCAGGTCAGCACCCCCCTCTGAAATAAGATCATGAATGAGGGGGGCTTTATTTACCACTGACTTGGCATTACATAACATCAGCCGTAGACCCAGGGTCTGAGACTCTGAACAACCCGGGAAACAAGCAGTGCTTTGGGGGTCGGAGTGGGCAATCGCTTGTAAACAACTGTTCCATGTCCTGAATCAATTTTGTATTAATTATATTTTTAAATAGTTCCATTATTTAATCATGGCATACACTCATAATACCATTTAAATGAGCTGGATCAAGATATGATATGATATGATATGATATGATATGATATGATATGATATGATATGATATGATATGATATATGATATGATATTATTCATTACATTATTAATTATAATACTATACTAATTAAACACTTTTTATACATGTTTTGAGATAAGAACTATATTTCAAAACTGCATAGATAAATTCCCACGTAGAGTCTGTTCCAATTTGCATAATACAATAGTTTGGAAGGTGTGAAATAGGCCATACTTAAAACTTAAATTCTTCAGCATTTTGTTTCCAGCATTTGCACAGTTTAAGATGTCTCTATCTATTCCCCCAAGATCAGTGGTGGGATTCAGCCAGTTCGCACCACTTTGGGAGAACTGGTTGTTAACTTTCTGAGCAATTTGGCAAACTGGTTGTTGGAAGAAATCATTAGGGCAGAGAACCGGTTCTTAAATTACTTGAATCCCACCACTGCCCAAGGTACAACTACTTCAGGTAGAAAGAAAGGAGGTATATGTGGATAGTATATGGTGGTGCTGTACAGAATGAATGTTTGGTTGAAAAAAGCAAAAATGGTTATCTATAAAAGTGTGCTTTTGGCTTTGTTTTATAGCAGTGAGAGTTAGATATAGCAGGAGAAATATAGAAGTTAACATGCAGGTGGTATGGGTTAAGAAATATGTGTAGTAAAAAAAGAGATAGGACTAAAATGGATGAATATAGATTAAATACAAAAGTAATATAGGAAAGTATGGTATAGTAAATGATATTGGTGTAAATTTTTGTCTTGTTTTATTTTCAGCTCTTAATGGTATTCTAGTATTCTATTTCTTACTCCTTTTCTATACTATATAATATTGCTTAACCCAAAATGACTACGGTAGTAGAATAGGATTATATACACACTGTGTATCCAGGACAATTTTGGTGACTCAAAATGTTTTTTATAATGACATCATCAGTACTTGGTGATTGACCTTTTTCAGGATAATTCTGCATGTCAGCTCCTCCCAGAAACAGGAGGTTTATATTTTTCTACATCACTGCATTTACTTTACAAACTATAAATATACATTTATAGTTTTCTCCAGTATTTCCATATTTCTATCTGGCCAATTCTATGACCTTGTTAAGCAATTCTCTGACTTATACCAGAGATCAGCCAACTGTTATTCAGTAGAAATGGGATATGACCCAAATAATGAGTGGAAACAAGCCTGTATTTAATAATAATGCAAACAAAACATATTATTTTGTCTTTTATCTTTTTTTTAAAGTACAAAGATAGAATAGTTATGAAATTGTAATATTCTAGAATCTAAAAGGAGAGAATAATGGCACCAAAGGGTTGGTAATTGAGATTTAGTGCCACATCCTTGTTTTCTTTATCAGTTTTTCCTTTTTATTTTTATAGCTGTGTATTCATGACAATTACAGAAACAATCCATTCCATAATTTCCGACATTGCTTCTGTGTTACCCAGATGATGTACAGCATGATCTCACTCTGCAACCTCCAGGTGTGTCTTTCTCTGGCCACTTTTATTCTCTCTTCAGTTCTCCTATCAGAAGAAAAACTGCATAAAACATCATTAAATCCATGGCTTTTTAAAATACTTTCTTCCCTACAACAGTATTTTGTTAACCTAATATTGAAAGGCCTAATGCAGAGTATCTCTTTACACATCCCTAGGATTTTGCCGAGAATAACTGATCCCAAGGTCACTTCAGTGTGTAACTTTTTTTACATTTAAGTGAAGAATTGAAAGCTCTAGTGAAAAGGAGATGGTTAAGAACCCTGGCAGTTTCTTAGTCTCCAAGAGACATAGGAAACTGCCTTACATCACATCAGATCATTGGTCCTTCTAGCCCAATATTGTCAACACTGATTGGCAGCAGGCGTTCAAACTGGAGGCCTATCTGGAGACTGGAGGTGCCAGGAATTCAGATCTCCAGCCTGCAAAGCATGTTCCTTACTTTTGAGCCACAGCCACTCTTGATGCATAAATCAGTAATGGTTCAAGAAGAACCACAGGCTCACACATTGCTGATGCCCCCTATGAAATATAAACCAACTTAGATGAAACCTTTGTCCTTTTTTTTACATTTAAAAAACAAGCCTGAAATTCAAACTTAAGAGAAGTTAAGCCTCTCCATACAAGTTTCCTAATGACCTCCCCCCTCCCCCCCCACTTAAAAATTAAAATGCTATAGCTTTAATGTTTCTTTGACTGAAAGAACAGAAAACCAAAGTGTCTTGGCTTCCTCTTTCATCTAAATTCAGGGTAGCCCAAACTGCTTGAACTACTTCTTGTGCCATTCTCTTGCACCATTTCCAACACAGTGCTCTCCAGATGTGTTAGGCTACAACATCCAGAATTCCTAATTTACTAACACCAAATTACTCAACATACTCTGATTGTGTCTCAAAACTGTCAAGCTCAGAGCCAAAAGAGAATTACTTTTGCCTTAAGAAGCAGGTGGGAAGAGAAGGGTGTTACGTTGCCTTATACAGCCTGATTCAGTCCTGGCCATTCTAACTGGGGATGGATTTTCTAGTTCCTCTCACACTACACTATCTTAAGGAGTTGCCCCTTTCTAGTCTAAATGGTACATGTAGTCCTCAATGTATGACTACAATTGAGTCCAACATTTCTGTTGATAAAGGAAACATTTGTTAAGTGAAATTTGTTACATTTTATGACCTTTTTTGCCACCTCTAAGTGAAAAACTATAATGGCACAGTAGTTAGAATATAGTACTGCAGGCTACTTCTGCTGACTGCCGGCTGACTGCAATTTGATATCTAGAATCTCACCAGGCTCAAGGTTGACTCAGCCTTCCATCCTTCCAAGGTCGGTAAAATGAGGAGCCAGATTGTTGGGGGCAATACGCTAACTCTGTAAACTGCTTAGAGAGGGCTGTAAAGCACTGGGAAGCAGTATATAAGTCTAAGTGCTATTGCTATCACTGCAGTTGTTAAATTAGTAACATGATTGTTAATTAAATCTGGCTTCCTCATTGACTGCTTGACAGAAGGTTGAAAAGGTGATCTTATGACCCCAGGACACTTCAACAGTCATAAATATCAGCTATTTGCCAAGCATCTAAATTTTGCTCACATGACCATGGGGATGCTGCAACATCATGTGAAAAATGGTCCTACCACATTTTTCAGTACTCTTGTCACTTCGAACGGTCACTAAATGAACTGTTGTAAGTTGAGGACTATCTGTATTAAGAATGTTACCCCAAATATGTAGAACTCACATTTTCATACAGAAGTTAATCATGTCCATTATATTTGTAGGCAGGGGTGGGATTGAAAAATTTCAACAACCGGTTCACTGCCCGGTCGCTGGGTGGGTGTGGCCATGGGGGCATGGCCTACTCAGCCTCCTGCACCATGGGGGGGGGTGCATTTTCACCCCCCAGGCTCTGGAGGCTTTCCTGGAGCCTCCAGGAGGATGAAAACAGCCTCCCCAGGCACCAGAGGTTCTCCGGAGGCCAAAAGGGCCCATTTCTGGACTTCCAGTACTTCCGGTAGTCCCGTTTTTCACCCTCCCCAGGCTCCAGAGGGTTTCCTCGAGCCTCCAGGAGGGCAAAAATGGCCTCCCCCGGGTACCAGAGGCCCATTTCTGGACTTCCAGTACTTCCTGTAGGCCCGTTTTTCATCTCCCCAGGCTCCAGAGGCTTTCTTCGAGCCTTGAGGGCAAAAATGGCCTCCCCTGGGCTCCGGAGGCCCTCTCAAGGCTGGAAATGGACCCATTTCTGAACTTCTGGTACTTCCGGTAGGCCCATTTTTCACCCTCCCCAGGCTCCGGAGTCTTTCCTCAAGCTTCCAGGAGGGCAAAAACGACCTTCCCCAGGCACTGGAGGCCCTCCGGAGGCCAGAAACAAGCCTGTTTCCAGACTTCTGGTAGGCCCATTTTTCTGGTAGGCCTCTGCACGCACCATGTGCTTACCTGGCATCCAAAACAGGCTGCATGGAGACTCCTGGGAGGGAAGGGGAGGGGTGGGCGGGGTCAGCCAGTCCTTGGAACAACCAGTTCGGCAAACTGAACCTGTTCAAACTGGCTGAATCCCACCCCTGTTTGTTTAGCATAGATTTGCAACTTGAGTGGCCAATACAAGAACATAGTCACACAGTTGCCGTGTTTTATTCATGGAATTTAATAATTGGTTCATATGTTCTTTTTTTCCAGTTGCAACACTTCCATATTTTCCCTTTACTTTTTTTCTCACCCCCCCCCCAAAAAAAAACCTTTAAAAGGAAAAGGAAGAAAAGCTGAACAAGGCTTTTGACTGGTAGGACAAGTATAATGCAAGGCAAGATAATTTAATAATATTGTCTATTTGCAAGCAAGAAGAATTTCTTGTGTAATCCTAACTTATTTTCTCAAGCAAGTAGCGGAACATTTTAAAAAAATTCCCCCGTTGCTACTTCTCTTCGGTACTGAAATAAAATATGAAGTACTAAAGTAAGTATCTTTCTTAACTAATATCAATCCTGGCACAGCATATTGCAAGCTGAGCAACCTTTGCCTTTAAATAAAATTTATCCACAGTTAAGCAGATCCAACATTTCCTCTCCATCCTGTTGTTAATTATACATCACTGCCAGACTTGGATGATTTGCTAGACAGTCGTGGCAGAAAAAGGATCTTTAAACTTGCTACAGTAAATTAAGTGTTGACTTAATCTTGTTATTTTCCTGATATTTAAGTGTGCTTCTGATGTTGTAAAAGCTGTATAAAATTATAAGACTGTATTTTCTCTCTTTTCTCTTTTAGACAAAGATTTCCAAAATGGATATCTTAATGCTAATGACAGCATCAGTGTGTCATGATCTGGATCACCCAGGTTATAACAACACGTATGTATTATTTTGGAAGAGAGTTAGAGGTGAATAGCATCTGCTTAGAGAAATGGAATACAATTGAAAGTTCAGCATGTTAAACATGGGTCTATGACAATTCTTCGCATCTGACTCACCATAGCCAACTTGCCAAGGCCAACTTGACGTGACCAACTCACCATAGGATGACTCACCATGGCCAACTCACCACAGGACAATACACTGCAGGACAAGAGTTACACTAATATCAAAGAAATGGTGGAATGGAATCATTAAACAAAGGATGAAAAAGGAGGGACAGAATGAAATTATTTATTTTAAATAATTGAATTGAATTGTTAAATTGTCCTGAAGCAAGTTGTCCCATGGTAAGTTGGCCGTAGCAAGTTGCCCCGCAACAAGTTGGCCGCAGTGAGTTGGCTGTGTAATCTTATGCAACACCTTTTTGCAGGAATTCCACCATAAGATCTTACCCCCAATTCCTGAGGATGCTGGCCCAAGACATTAGTGGAACAGAAAGTGCATTGCCTAAATTGAAATGTATAAAATGTATAATACTAAAGCCAGAAGAAAGAAAAAAAATAAAAATTAAAAAACCTTTCACCTTGCAAAAAATATAGTGATAATACACTAAATTGTGCTCTTTCATTGTCTTCCTGTAGTACATGTTATCTAAGAAACTCAGCTGCCTAGTAAATATACACAGAATATTAATTTCAGACTATTTAGATTAGTAGGATATAATAATCTGCTGGAGTGTAAGAATTAAGCAAATTTGAGTAGCTTTTAAAAGAAGAAGTTAATAAAACCCCAAATGGGACCACATGGCCAAATCAGGATTTTTTTTTCATAATATGTGTATATCTTTATTAGATCTGGGAAAAATAAATGTGATCTACTTTGGCTTTTTGCTTCAAACATGTTTTTTAAAGCTGTGTAGTAATGTATTTATAGAAGTATGTGTCACTCTATATGTACAGGTAAGAAATGTATTTTAAGTAACTACCTTGAGGAAGGAAGTAACATCTTATAATTGGTTTGTGTTAGTAAAGCATCAGAACAGACAACGCATGATGACTGTATCTTTGGGCACGTATCTTTACAGAATTATAAAGATTAATAACAAAAATGTTAACATAATTGCAATTTTGTAAATAAATAGCATTGAAATGGTTGATTGGATTGTAAAAATAATGAAGGAACGTTGCAAAAATGAAACAGAACACATCCCATTGTAGCTTCCAAATTAGCTATTTTCATTGTAGAAATAAACTAATTTAGCACATTTCTGTTTATGCCTTTGGTTTATTTCAGGTATCAGATCAATGCACGAACAGAGCTAGCTGTGCGATATAATGATATTTCCCCACTAGAGAATCATCACTGTGCAGTGGCTTTCCAGATCCTTGCACAGCCAGAATGCAACATTTTATCCAATCTTGATAAGGAACAGTTCAAACGGATCAGACAGGTATGGGTTCAAAGGTATGGGTTCACAGAGAATTGCAACTGAGATCAGCTGGTCTGTCTCAGGATTAAGAAGACTGTGCCTCTCAAAACTATGTTTAACTACAATGCTCTAAACTCTTATTGGCCAGGCTTGATGTCTATGAAGATTGTCAATCATCCAGGTCAGTTGTCCCAAAGGTGCTTTTTCAAGAGGCAACTGAAGTTTCTTGTTTTTCTTTGAAGACGTTTTGCTTCTCATCCAAGAATTTTCTTCAGTTCTGAAGCTTCTTGGATGAGAAGCCAAACATCTTGAAAGATAAACAAAAAAGTCCAGGTGCCTCTTGAAAAAGCACCTTTGGGACAGCCAGGCATGATGCTAGATATACAGTATATAGATGACCAGAGATTCAGTGGTGGGTTGCCCCCAGTTCGCACTGGTTCTATATAACCGGTAGTAAAACCAGCGGGAGGATCCGCCCACCAACCCCGACATCATCAAAGAGCTTCTGTGCATCCGCAGAAGCTTCTACGCATGCGAGCAAAGCGAGCGAGCACACACGGCCCCGCTGCAAACCGGTAGTAAAAGTAAGTAGAACCCACCCCTGCAGAGATTCCCCAAATGTTAGCACCATGGGTTGAAAATTTGAGAGTTTAACATCTGAGCCTATTTTATTGAAATGTCTCAAGTGCTCTCTGAAACATATGAAACAGAAACAGGACTAGATCTTTGAGCATGCCAAGAGTAACATTAATTAAAAAGTTTGCAAAGTCTAGAGCTAGAAGGTAAAACATAGCAAGAAAGCCAGTTTGGTCTAATGGTTAAGGTATCTAGAAAGTGGGAGACCATGAGTTCTAGGCCTGTCTTAGCATGAAAGCCAGCTAGGTGATTTTGGGCCAGTCTCAGCTCAAACCACCACCATCCAGTCCCCCCCAGGATTGCTGTTATGGGAAAAATAGGAGGAGGATAGTGAAGGTTCATTCTCCAAGCTTGTGGGTTGGTTCACAGAACGAACCTTCACCCTCATCCTACACCCGAGCTACAGATATTCGCCACTCTTGCAAAGGAAGATAGTGTGATGAATATGTTCACCACCCTGAGTTACTGGTAAAAATAATAAGGGATGGTGCACAGCCGGTGATTAGGAGCAGGTGGGATAAAATAAAATGAAATGAAATAATATTCTCCTAGGAATCCTTGACAGTCAGCATCTCTCATTTGAGAAATTCAATAGAAGCATCATCAACAGTCAAACCTAATGAAATAAGTACCTCATAGACAAGCTGGTGCCTTTCAATTAGATTAGATACAATACTCATCATCCTTAGTTATCACAGTAGGAATAATTCTTAGTTGTAGTTTAACACAACTAAGAAATGGTGCCAGTTTGGTGAAGGATATTGCAGATATCTTTGGAAAAATATTATAGTTTTTTATATTATAATGTGTTAATATATTTAACTGGTTTTATTGTAAGTTTTGTTTTTTGGTAAAAGTCCTAAGGAAATGCTAAAGAGAAGAGGTATAACATAGCGCAGTGTAACATAACATAACACACATTAGTACAAAAAAAAAATCACATTATGTTTTAAATCACAGAACAATGTAAAAAAAACATGTTATGCTACACCGATTCTTGATGTTTTGTTAAAGCAGTTCTCAGTTCATGCAGAAGCACTAAAGCCAGATCAACCCTCCTGCCATGCAGAAAAGGGGAGAAATTAAATGTACATATTTCCCCGTGTGTGCCTAATAGAAATTCCAAGATACTTGTACTTAGCATCGTGATTATAGGCCTGATCCAGATTTGCCTTCCATAGCTCATTAAAAAAAGATAAATAGCTCATTTAGATAAAGATAATGAGCTCATAGCTCGTTAAAAAAAACTCCTAGCATAGTTTCAGCAAAGTTCTGTCCTATGTTTTTCCTCAAAATTGCTTCCTTCTTCAGAATATGTCATATCCAAAAAGGGGAAAATTGAATAAAGGGTAGGAATACATAGAAAGCTAGAATAGGTCCACTTCAAGAAGCATAAACTGTTTCTTCTTTTTTCTTAAACAATGTAGGGGATAATTACATTAATCCTAGCAACAGACATGGCACAGCATGCTGAAATACTGGATTCTTTCAAAGAAATCTTAGATGAGTTTGCCTATTCAAATGAGGAACATGTAACTCAGGTAAGATGCTTTTCTTTCTTTATTAGCATTTAGCTTTTATTCAGATGGAAAGGGTTCTCCAGCCCACCTTAAAGATCAATAAAAAGAGACAACCTTGCTTTCAGGATTGGGCAACCTGACAGCCTTTTTGCATTCCTGGAATTTCCATGCATCCAAAAACTTCAGCCTTGTGGTTTCTTATCATTTAGAGAAGGAAAAATGCATGAGAAATGCTTAGTAAGCCTTAAAACTGAGCTTTTCCATTAATTATTTATAGCATCCATGGAATAGTTTGCCAACCACAGTTCCCATGAAGCTGACCGTATCTCCTTCTCAATGAGGTCAATCTTACCTATGTATGGGGAATCTGTGACCCTGCCGATGATTCTCAATCACAGCTTTCCACAGCCCTCATTGGCTGTGCTTGTTTCAACTGCTAGGAGTTATAGTAGTAGAACCTCCAGTAGACCATAGAGTTTCCATTTATTGTCCATGTTCAAAATGCTGAACTTCAAATCCCCATTTGGTAGAATATCAGTTTTTATTGTTTTAACATCTACAGTGAACAAGAAAGCAGATAAATTGAGGACAGGCTGCCTTGGCTTGATGGATATGTAAACATATGTTTTTACTCTTTTCAGTTAAAAGGAGGGGCAGGCAAGCAGAACAAAAGGCCCCCCCTCCTGTTATACAGTACAGGGATCATTACAGAGAATCCGCTGTTTCAAACAAATCTAATCTGGTAATAATTTCACTGCTGACTTTCCACAACAAAGTGGAAGAAACCAGTGGTGGGATTCAAATTTTTTTACTACCAGTTCTGTGGGCGTGGCTTGGTGGGCGTGGCTTGGTGGGCGTGGCAGGGGAAGGATACTGTAAAATCTCCATTCCCTCCTGATCAGCTGGGACTCATGAGGCAGAGAATAGATGGGGCAGGGCCAGTCAGAGGTGGTATTTACTGGTTCTCCGAACTACTCAAAATTTTCATTACTGATTCTCCAGAACTGGTCAGAACCTGCTGAATACCACCTCTGGAAGAAACACTGGCAGATAAAATAAAGATCTCACATTGTAAACTGCTTTGCTGTTTTCAGTTGAAGATGATATTGATCAAGTGCTGCGATATCTCCAATGAAGTTCGCCCAATGGAAATAGCAGAACCATGGGTGGACTGCTTATTGGAAGAATATTTTATGCAGGTAAAAAGATACACGGTTATCACCATAATGATTTATATTTTTAAATTCCACTTGAAGTATATTCAATAACAATGCTGCTATGCTAGAATCACAGGACTGGTTCTGTTATAAATCATAATGAGAAAGTGGTAGTGAGTATCAGAAAAGTGGAATAGCCACATAGGCAATCCCCACACAGGCCCCCTTTCACATAAGGATGTGCAAGCTCAACTTGTCTTTCCCATCATACCAAAACCTAGCTAGTTTTCCTCTAGGGTGGACAGTGGATGTTGTGTTCTGGTTATTGTTACACTAAGATTCAGCAGCCAGGCTGATTGCCTTCTGCACATGGATGATGGACTGGGAGGTTTGGGACACTATTTTGTCTTTTGTTTCTACTAGGAAAATATGTTGGACTGACTCTGTGGATCCACTATGTTGAAAAAATACTTTCAGTAAGATTTGTGTCTAACTGTAGATTGCTGCAGTTTGCAACCTAGAAAGATGATAATAGCCAAATAGTGTAAATATTAATGGAAAGCTGTTGCTTCTCTCTTGAGAGTTGTTTCTGCCAGTCAGCTCAGCATACAATTTTTTTTCAAACTCAAGCAGGTCAGATTTGAGGCAATAGAAAGCATAGCTAAGGAAGCCTAAGTGGGTCAAGTGGTAGATGCTGAATTACATAACTAAGCCTGTAATCAGTGAAATAATGTTAAGAGAAAGAAAGGAGAGGAAAGTCTGGTAGTTTTTAATAGAATAGTCAAGTTAGTTCTGACCTCTCTTTACTAGACCTCTCTTTTGGAAGCAATTGTAGGTAGCAATAGGTAAATATAAAGGAATGGTTTGTTTGCCAAATATTAGGCTGTCACAGTGATGTATATCAAGTAAAGTTTGTTAGTGACTGAGAACAGAAAAGAGGAAGAAGAGTTGGAGGTTTTTTTTATTTAATATCTTTCCCTTATTGGAAAATAACTAACTTTAACCAACAATTTCATGTCAGTGTTTATCTGTACGTCTGCCTGTCTGTCTACAAATACACAAACTTTTATACATACTGTAATATAAATGTATAAAACCAGAAAAGAATAGCAGCTCGTGAGAGATTAGATCTTCTTTCAATTAATCTGCATCACCTGTATATTTATTCACAGTACTTTTGATGTGGACTTAATTTTCCCCTTTTATTTTGAAGAAAAAAACTGATGCAGGACCTAATTTAGTATCTGTCTCTCATTTGGAAGTAGGTACACATCAGTCTCCTGTTTAAAAAAAATCAAGACACACCTGAGTAACAGTCAGAGATTATTCCAGTGGGGAAATGATGCATCCATAAGTAAGGGTTAAGTCCACGGGTGGGTTCTACTTACCTTTACTACCAGTTCACCTCATGCCCACGCAGATCAACTTTGATGACGGGTCAGTGGGCAGAGCCTCCCTCTGGTTTTATTACTGGTTCTTGCGAACCAGTCTGAACCAGGGGCAACCCATCACTGGTTAGGTCACTCTTCTCTACATTACACTGTTCCAGTCCAGATATGAGGGATAGATATTTTGGAGATATTTATGACACAGTTATCAGTTGGGACTCTTGTTCTGACACTATAATTCTTCTCTGGTTGAGCAGCAATTAGGAAATCCTGCTTGGGCTAAAAGGCAGGTTATATAAATTGTATTAAATATATAACTAAAATGTATAAATGATATGGTTTGTGTATTAACATTCCTATGACACATTGTTATACTTGTTGTAGAGTGACCGGGAAAAGTCTGAAGGCCTTCCAGTGGCACCTTTTATGGACCGAGACAAAGTGACCAAACCAACAGCACAGATTGGCTTCCTCAAATTTGTTCTTATTCCAATGTTTGAAACTGTAACAAGGGTAAGGGATTTGGAATATATAATCAAAACCCATTTGACCAACTAAAATGGTGCCCTCGTTTAATAGAACAACTTATCTTTTTTTATTAATTTTTTTTCTTAGGCTTTTATAAAATACAGGTGTCCATTTCCGAGGGTCCTAGTCCTTCTCTATTGTATACAGTATAATGTTAGCATATTTTTAAAATCAGTGATAATCAACACTGTTAACTTTTGTTTCTCCATTATGTTAGCTTTTTCCAGAAGTTGAAGAAGTAATGCTCCAGCCACTTTGGGAATCCAGAGATCGCTATGAGGAGCTGAAACAAATAGATGATGCTATAAAAGAGGTCAGGACAGCACCTTCTCAGGTATTGCTTTATCTTATTTATAACCACTTCTCTTCTAACCAACTCTCTTTCGTCTGCCTGCACTTAAAACATTTTCTTGGGAAAATATCTGACGTGTTTCTTTCTCTGACTTATTCTTTTAAAAAGTAGGTCAGTTTACTTTTCCAAACATCATTCAACCAATGTTTGTGTGTGAATGGATATGTGTGATAGCCACTACTTTGCTTGGATCTAGCCAGCAGGGTGTTTAGATCTGGCCCGCAGGGCTGCCCTGGAAACAGCAAAGGACCAGCCTGTGGTGCTTCTGGCAGCAAAAGCAGGGCTTGGGAGGGCACGTGGCCCTTCCAAGCTCCATTTTCGCTGGCAGAAGATTGCAGGAAGCTGTTGCAGCTGAAAATGGAGCTTGGGAGCCTGTTTTCGCTGACAGGGCTCTGGGGCCACTGCACGCGGCCCTGACACAAGTGATGTCAAGCAAGCCATGCACACCCGAGCCCCCTGAGGTCAAACACAACCCTGATGCGGCCCTCAGTGAAATTGACACCTCTGCTCTAAAGTATACTCCCAGACATTCTTCTCACCCAATTCAAATAATGTTAAAATTATGAAATCTTATTAGGTCTTGCCGTGCCTATTTCATCAGTTTCTGATGAGTTTTGGTCATTATTTTATTAGATATCTGGTTCTTCATGCAAGATCACATGAAGCTGCTTATTATCTGTCTGCCAATTAACAATTTCAATGTATTTGGTAGCTCGGTTCCCTAATGATAATTACATAAATCCAGAGTTCAGTAGGCAATATGTGTAATAACCAAGTAGTATTTCCCTTAAGTCAAGCACATATTTAGCTGATTGAATGGGGATGTCCATTCTGTACTCTTGGCATTGCCCTCCCTTTTTTTTTTTTTTTTAACTTCCCAGTCCACTTTGCAGTCTTGGCCTTTATATTTAAATTTATTCCATCCCTACAATTCACATTTCTTCTTGGCTTTGAAGCAAAATTCTATTTTTAAAAGCCTTATTTTCTACCCTCTAGTTGCTAAGGTGGACATGAATGATATCAACTATGTAACGTGTATGATTTATTTTTGTTTCTATGTGCTGATCTGTGTGGGAGACAGTGGCTAATATCTAGAAGGTCTATGTCCACTCTGGAGGTTGTTTTAAATGACAGCTATAGTCCCTGTGAACTGAATTTTATATTATGCAACAGAAAGCTGAGCAGACTATAGTTTTCCTCCCATTAGGATAAAGTTCATTTTAACTGGCTGTTCCTTCAAACTGAGTAATGAAACAATGGGAACATTAACATGAAGTAGATTTCTGTGATGACCAGTGAAGCCAGCCTAATAATCAAGTAGGCTTGCAGAAATTATATTCCACTTCTACCAGCATACTTAAAAGGCAGTATTTTTCTTAGGTGGCTAAAAATTCTTAGCAGGCAAGTAAAATAAAGGCTAAACATTTTTCCACAACATTGTACAGGGCAACATACATGGTCTTTCCAATTTGTTGTTCTAAGACTTTGGAACTCTTGCTAATAAAAATCAGGCTGTTGTTCTTTCTCATTTTTGTTGCATTTTCTTGACTTTCAACTTTCCTAATTTTTTCTTAATCCTCACTTGTTATGTTTAAGGCTGGATCTTTCTTGGAGAAAATTCTCCATTTTGTTTCATAAGGAAATTCCTCCTGGCGAGGTTCACAAAACTTAGGACAAAAGTTTAATAAGGTTTGTAGTTCTAATTATTTAGTTACATGGCTTCTTGCCTGGTTTCCTCTTATTTACCTAAGTAGTTACTGTAGATTTAGTTCAGTGCTATTCTCAAAGCAGTTCATTAAAAAAAAAAACATCTGCCACATGAAAATGTACTTTGTGTTTGGGGGGCCCTTTAACTTCCAATTAATAAACCATTACCTGTCGATAACTTGCCAGGTAGACAAATGTGTAAACACTCCAGATTTGTGTTGCCCTACTTTCTGAATTGCATTTGAGCAGACTTTGTGAAGTCACCTTGAAATTTGGGTTTAGGAAAGGATTCTATACAGAAGTAGGAAACTTTGGGAAGCAAAGGTTATAAGAATGCTGAAAAATGGAGTTGAAAGCTCCCTTTATCCTCCCTTCTCAAAATAATCTTTGCAGATTATTTGAAACAATGTCAAAATTGTGAATCCAGTGATTTCCACTTTTTTAAGCAGTGTGCAATTAATCCATACAACTCACTTCCACTAGATGTAGTGATGGCCATTACCTAGTATATTTTAAAAGGGAGCAGGTAAGTTCCAAAATGGCAGAATATTGGATTGCTGCCATGATAACACCACTGAATGCCAATTGCATTCTGTCTGTGAGATCTTATAAAAATTTGGTCCCACTGCATAAAAGAAAAAGAATGCTGGGGCAGTTGTATAATTGATCTGATCCAGTGGGGCTCTTGCAGTTTTTATGGGCATCTCTGATGCAAACATTATTCTCATTATTGCATCTATCGGTCTACTTTAAACTCATTCAAAAAAATTTCAGACCAGGATAACATGCAGGAGCATTGCAATCTTAATTCGAATGGATGCAACGTATACACTAAGAATGTCTGGCCTCACCCTGGATTTTGAGCTCTCTTGATTATAAAACTCTCAGCAAAAAACAATACATGTCTATGCAAAACATACTTTATTTGCTTTTCTTAGCTGGAACACCAAACAGTTGGAAATAAATTCAAAGCTTATAATGGCTTTGAAATAGTCCTTTGCAGGGACTACTGAAAACTCCAGTTATCTTTTTGGTCCCCACACAGTAATAATTTTATGTGTGATATTTAATAACAATGTGTTTGAATGCTTGATTTGTGAAATGACATGCCTTTCAATAAACCAGTTACTTTATTTCAGTTTCAGAAGAAGAAGAATGAAAGTTTGACGTGTGAAACCAGAGAGAAGTGAAAAGCAAAGCACAAAGAAAGGTTACATATCAAAATAATTTCTACTTATTCTTTGAAGGGTTCTGAAAGCAAATATTTAATAGTAAAATCTTTGAAATATTTAAAATAAGAAATAGTTGTGCTAAAATAATTTCATTGATGTATACACACATATCTTCCTATCATGCTACAATATTCCCTTTTGAGGTAAATAGTTTTATGCAAAGTGGAGAAAAGGCATAAACATAAAGAGCGTTTTAATAAATATATTTTAAATATACATTTTAAAATAAATGTTAAAAAATAAAATATATACTAAAGACATATGATAAGAAAAAAAGAGAAATTTAGCTAAATCTAATATAAGTCAACACCAGCTAAAACACCTCTTTATATCTTTCTATCCTTGCAAATCAGTGTTTCTATCTTGTCCATATGCATTGCCTTTTGTTGCAATATATTCAATTTTCCTAATCAGAAATGCCTTGGAAAAATTTCAGAATACCTTTTGTTTGGGTCAAATATTAATATAATAGAGAATCAGTAACAAAAATAGTAAGCCAAGTAGTTTCTATAGTTGGCTTATTAAAAGGAAACTGTTGCAGCAAATATTATTGTAACAGTGCGGTTAAGAATGGAAGAAACCTAAAAGTCACAATCCAATGAAACAAATACATTCAAGTCCCACTGATGTTAGTGGAACCCAAATACCTTTAATTGTTTGCTTTAGCTATATTAATATCAAAGGGTCTTAAAACAGACTAGATAGGTCTGAGACCAAGGGAGGCCACTGTTCCTCAGACGGCCGGCTGTGAATCCCTCCTTGTGAAATGGGGCCACGGGGTTCAGATGGGTTTGCTGATCACATACCTGGCTCCCTGCCATGTGGCAGCAGCCCTGCCCGAGCTACTCAGTGTCATCGCCACGGTGGCGGTTGAGACCCCTAGGCTTATGGTCATGGGGGATTTCAACTTGCCGTCCGTTGGTGAAGCATCTGAGGTGGCTCGGGAGTTCATGGCTTCCATGACAGCCATGGACCTGACCCAGTTAATTCATGGCCCTACCCACATGGGGGGAAACACGCTGGATCTGGTTTTTGTCTCTGGACAGTGGTTGAGTGATCTCGAGATAGGGGATATAGTCACCGAGCCCTTGTCATGGTCTGATCACTCTCTCCTTCGTCTCGACCTTCGAACCGCTACACCCCGCCGCAGGGAGGCGGAGCCGGTAAGATGGTTCCGCCCCAGGCGCCTGATGGAACCGGATAGGTTCCAGATGGAGCTTGGGCCATTCCCTGAGGCTCTGGCACACGCCTCGACTGGAGACCTAGTGGCCGCCTGGGATAGGGCGGCCGCTGGAGCTCTGGATCGGGTCGTGCCTTTGCGGCCTCTGACCCGGCGCCGATCTCATTTAGCTCCTTGGTTCACTGAGGAGCTGAGGGAGTTGAAGCACCGGAAAAGACGCCTAGAGAGTAGTTGGAGGGCCAGCCTTTCTGAATCTGACCGGACACTGGTAAGAGCTCATATTAGGAATTACCTAGTGGCGATAAAAGCAGCGAAATGTAGCTATTTTGCTGCTCTTATTGCGTCATCAGATAATCGCCCGGCCGCCCTGTTTAGGGTGACCCGCTCCCTGCTCCACCAGGAAGCGCGGGAGGACCCCTTGGAGGGTAGAGCCGAGGATTTTGTCCAATATCTGTATGACAAAATCGCTCAGATTCGGGAAGATCTGGACTCCGACTGGATAGTCTCAGGGGGAGGGACTGGGGCAGGTCTTGAGAATGTTATCTGGGATGAGTTTGATCCTGTGACCCCTGAGGACGTGGACAGGATTCTGGGTAGACTGAACGCGACCACTTGTTTATTGGACCCGTGTCCCTCCTGGTTAGTGCTGGCTTCTCGGGAGGTGACACGAGGCTGGTTCCAGGGGATTATAAATGCTTCGCTGGGTGAGGGTGTCTTTCCTGCCGCCTTGAAAGAGGCGGTGGTGAGGCCTCTCCTCAAGAAGCCTTCCCTGGACCCGGCAATGTTGGTAAATTATCGTCCGGTCTCCAACCTTCGTTTTGTGGCAAAGGTTGTTGAGAGTGTGGTTGCGCAACAGCTTCCCCAGCACCTGGATGAAACGACGTATCTGGATCCGTTCCAGTCGGGCTTCAGGCCTGGGTACAGCACAGAAATGGCATTGGTCGCGTTGGTTGATGATCTCTGGAGGACTCGGGACAGGGGGTGCTCCTCTGTCCTGGTCCTGTTAGATCTCTCAGCGGCTTTTGATACCATCGACCATGGTATCATGCTGCACCAGTTGGAAGAGTTAGGGGTGGGAGGCACTGTGTTGCGGTGGTTCTCCTCCTTTCTCTCTGACCGGTCGCAGTCCGTGTTGACAGGGGGACAGAGGTCGACCCCGAGGCCCCTCATATGTGGGGTGCCGCAAGGGTCGGTCCTCTCACCTCTCCTGTTCAACATTTATGTGAAACCGCTGGGCGAGATCATCCGTGGTTTCGGGGTGGAGTACCATCAGTACGCTGATGACACCCAGCTGTACATCTCCACCCCGGATCACCCCAACGATGCCCTTGAAGTGATGTCCCGGTGCCTGGACGCCGTACGGATCTGGATGGGGAGGAACAGGCTCAGGCTCAACCCATCCAAGACCGAGTGGCTGTGGTTTCCGACGTCCCGATATAGCCAGTTGACGCCATCACTGACTATTGGGGGCGAATCATTGGCCCCCACGGAGAGGGCTCGCAACTTGGGCGTCCTCCTGGATTCACGGCTGTCTTTAGAAGAGCACTTGACGGCCGTGACCGGGAGGATTTTTTATCAGGTCCGCCTGATTCGCCAGTTGCGTCCCTTTCTGGATCGGGACTCGTTACGCACGGTCACTCATGCCCTCGTCACCTCCCGCCTGGACTACTGTAATGCTCTCTACATGGGGCTCCCCTTGAGGAGCACCCGGAGGCTCCAACTGGCGCAGAGTGCGGCCGCGCGGGTGGTAATGGGAGCGACATGGCGCTCCCATGTAACACCTCTCCTGCGCGAGCTGCACTGGCTCCCGGTGGTCTTCCGGGTGCGCTTCAAGGTTTTGGTTACCACCTTTAAAGCGCTCCATGGCTTAGGGCCTGGTTATTTACGGGACCACCTACTACCACCAATAGCCTCCCACCGGCCAGTACGCTCTCATAGAGAGGGACTCCTCCGGGTGCCGTCAGCCAAACAGTGTCGACTGGCGGCCCCTAGGGGGAGAGCCTTCTCTGTGGGGGCACCTACCATCTGGAATGAGCTCCCCCCGGAGATACGGAGGATCCCGGATCTGCGCTCCTTCCGCCGTGCTGTGAAGACCTTTTTATTCCATCAAGCGGGCTTGGCCTGATCTCTTCCCTTTTTAAATATGTAAATTTTAATCTGTTTTTAAATTATTGGGATATTTTAATTTGTCTGGGCCAAAAAGTTTAATTTGATTTTATCGGGTTTTTAAATTTTGTGTATTTATGTATTTTATTGTTGGCTGTTCACCGCCCTGAGTCCTTCGGGAGTAGGGTGGTATACAAATCAAATAAATAAATAAATAAATAAATAAATATGATTGTCTCTAGATATGCCAGTCTTTATCTTCTAGAAAGGTAGTCATGCTGGCAGTGAAGAAGAGTGTTGTAGTCCAATACTACTCTATTTTGACAAGGTTTTATTGAGTGTGTTGCTTGGTCTACTTTAATCCTACTATTTCCTTGGTTAGTTATGTTATAGAGTTTGTCTTCATAGCCATGTTACAGGTAGTCCTTTATTTATGACCAAAATTGAGCCCAAAATCTCTGTTGCTAAGCAAGACAGTTATTAAATGAGTTTTGCCCCAATTTACCACCTTTCTTGACAGAGTTGTTAAGTGAATCCCTGCAGTTTTAAGTTAGTAGCATAGTTGTTAAGTGAATCTGGCTTCCCCGTTGACTTTGCTTATCAGAAGGTCATAAAAGGTGATCACATGACCCCAGGCCACTAGAACTATCATAAATACATGCCAGTTGCCAAGCATCTGAATGTTGATCACGTGACCATGGGGATGCTGCAACTGTCGCAAGTGTGAAAAGTGGTCATAAGTCACTTTTTTCAGTGCTGTTGTAATTTTGAATAGTTGCTAAACAAATGATTATAAATTGAAAACTACCCGTGTTTTCCTTCAGTGACTGAGGTAGGAGCATAATATACTTTGCACTGACCTTGTTGTAGGGCCCTATTTTGCCTCAATCAAAGTGGCATTGTCCTTGCAATTGCAATGTGGAACAAAAAAAAATTAAAAAGATTGGTGGATTCCCATGGGTTTAGTCTGCCCTTCCACTAAACATCAGAGTGAGGGAGGGCTTTTTATTTGCCAGGTTTCTGATCCCACAGAGTAGTTCTGTACAATAAGAGGCTTGGTTGGGAAAGAGTCAGCATGCCAACACCATCACTTCTCTTGCCAGCCTTCTTTGTCCTGGGCCAGCAGACTGCCCCAGTAAATAATTCTCAAAGGCCAGGGGAGCGGGAGAAGTGCACCTACAGTAGCTTAAAATTGTCAAATGGGCTGGGAATGAGAAGCCAGCACTGTGAGGACATGTCCTTTAAAAACAGCAGAGCGACTAGGCCTTATTCTTTGAGCCTAATGATGTTTATATTTTTAATTTTAGCATTACAGTTGATTAAAAAAAGATCCCTTAGAGGCTTGGCAAGTTCATCGAAGCATTGTGGGATTATCCAGCATGGACCAAGGATGAAGCTGAATAATTAACACTACTCAAGCACTTTTCACATTCCTTTTCTAAAGACTAGTATTTTTCCTAATGGGTACAAATGTTAAAGAGCCACCATTGTTGCATAATTTTTTATTTTTTATTTTTAAATGGTCTTTTAAATAATATATTCTTATACCAAAACAAAACAAACAAAAATGGTTGTTGTAATTATTCCCTTTTGTATATTTTATATGTGGTTATTTTTAATGCTTTGGGGGATTTTCTGGGAATGTTGGGGTGTGTGTGTGATGAATTTATATGAAGAGTCATTTCAGAAATAGTTACAGTATATGAATAGGAACCAGATTCTGCCCCCCTTTTTGCCTTCTGTCACTTTTCTCACATGTTTGACCAAACATCAGTTTCAGGCTAGCTAAAAAAAACAGTTTTCTGCTTTACTGGTCAGCAGCTGTTTGCAGTCAAACAGCTTGAGAAAATTGAAGCCTGAGGCTACCCCTCATTGCTTGTTCCTCATTCCATTTTCACAAATGCTGCTTCATTACATTCATTTTTATAACTGAACTGTTCCCTCTAAAAACAGAAATTACGTCCGAGGAAATTAAGTGTGCAGTCTGCTATTTTCCCAGAAAGGCATGTGGCCTCCAGAAAGATTCCAAAACTTGTTGCCAAATGATCATTTTTAATGTGACTCCCAAAATATAAAATTATTAATTCTGTGCTGTAATTCTATTAATAATTTATTTTAAATTGCATGACATGTTAATTTCAAGTACATTTTAAATCTAATCTAGTTTTTATTGTAGTCTTGACCACTTTTTGGAATGTGATTCTTGGCAAACCGTTGTAAGACCTGTCCTTAAATACTGAAACAATTAGGATGCTGTTGATATGTGTGGCATTATTGACGGATTCAGCAACCCCATGAAGCCAGGATTTTGGGGCAGAGACCCAGAAGCCTAACCAGCAGATGAATCACCTTGTCATGCAATAGTTCTAGCTTTCTCCACTTTAAAGTAAACTATTACAAATTACCAGTAAAAGAAGGATTGTCAGATGAAGTGTAGAATCCTTCAAAACACAATTCAACTGTTTTCTCAGCATTTCCTCTACAGCAGCAGTTGGGCAAAACCTAACTGGCTTAGCTAGTGAAATTCTCCAAAACACTGTATCAGGAGGATCAGTCCCAGATCAGACACAAATCTTGGATATGGAAGGAGTCTAAAAATTATCTACCTCTGTTATTCAAAAGCTCAATAAGCTGCCTGGACAGGAAGAGAGATTGATGGGAACCACAACTACACTGTTCTTTCAAGGACGAATGGTGCGTTAGTGTAATCAGTAGCTAAAGCTGCACTTGGAGTAGGTATTTTTCTTCTACCTTGCTTTAGTTTTTATCACTACTCTAAATTCTTTTGGTATACAGACTCATTTGGTCTTATATAGTTGTCTGAAATAATCTACTGACATAACACTTCAGTAAGCTTATGTTCACCCAGTAAACCATTGGCAAGATTTGGTTTAACCAAACTTGGTATGTCTGCAATATTTTTTTATTTGAAGATTACCTCATGTAGTAGATATCCTGTGAAAAGGAATATTGCAGCTTACTTGTTAAAACCTTCACAGTTGGGAAAATCACAAGATGGGATAGAGTAGACCTTCAAAAACAAACCAACAAATCTCATTCAAAATAAGGTGTCCCAGGCTGATAACCTTGGTAGAAAGGAAAGTTAATGTCTTCAGATGTCTGCCTACATTGGCCAAGAGATTGGAAACTATTTTATAAAGGTGAGAATGATTATGGTCCAGTTTGGAGTAGAACTTCTGCTCAGTTAATGCATCTCTTCAAACCATGTGTGCTGCATTGGGCCAAAGGATATTAACACAGGGCCTTGTGCACACATATCACATTCAAAAGCTAGAATAGGCAAAATAAGAGGTTTAAAAAAAGATGTAAGTCTGGTTCAAATATCACGTTAAAGTACAATATGATTTAATTTTGACTTGGTGTGCCATGTGGTCTTTATTATCATTTATTATCCACAGCTAATGGTTTTTGTTATGCCCAGGAAATTTGGCTTAACATAATGTGTGAAAAAATGTTGAGAAAAGATATGTTATTTGACTGGGATAAAATGAGGTACAAAAAGATCCTTGAAGGGCTTCTGTATGGTGCACTGAGTTTTGACAGCCGAGTCAAGATTAACCAATAAATGAAAAATCTTGGGAAGAAATGTGATGGGCAACATATAGACAAATGAAATTTTGGGCATACTCCTTGTAAATGTGCTAAGTTTAGCCAAAAGTTTTGCTTAATTGTATAATAGACTGCCCTTATTTGAGAGTGACAATGGACTGTTTTAATTGTGCAGGATCCAATCCAGGACCAGAGGCTTTGCCTTTGTTTTAATTATTGAAGTACTGTATATTGATTTACTCACATATACTGCCCACAGTCAGCCAGATTGGGGCAGCTGATACAAGTTCTTAAATAAATACAGAAGAGCACCAGAAATACGTACAAAACAGAAAAATACCTCTGTGATGTTTGTTTCAGTTCTTCAAAACAAATGCTTAGAAAATACATTGAAGTTGAACACAATGATCCAAAAGAAATAAATACCTACTACCTACCTTCTTCACCTACCATCAAGGTGGTGCTAAAATGAGAATGCATGGAATTTCTACTCTGAACTTTCATAAGTTGTTCTACTTATAAATGCAGAGCCACACATAAGGAAGGTGCTGCATTCCAAGGACGTAAATGTTTCTTCTTGAAGAACACATCCAAGCCATATGCCTGCTAGTTGAAATGCTGCTTGCTAAATCCCAATTCTTTTCACAAAAAAAGGAAATATGTAGGTGGGAGCTCAGACTTTTCTTCCACACAAAACAGGAAATAAATGCAGGCTTCCTTTGCCAGAAGACAAAGCTGGTTCACTTAACTGAATAATAAATCTCCCCATGTTCATTATGGTAAGATGCTTTGGAGGACCATAACTTGTATTCATCTTTGGATTTTAATGTACTTCTCCATGTGCTTGGACGAATGATTTGCTGTTTTTTAATCCATCTCTGGTGATCAAGAGTATTGTTTAATCCACCCGCAATGTAGACTTTGCACAATTATGTAGTCCTTCAATCAGTAATTAGCCCACTTCTGAGGAAGAAGGTTGCAAATGTTCTTATTTATGAGTTGTTGTTTGGAGGCACTTATAAATCAAATGAATTAAATGCATTCTTCTAAACAGCTGTAACTTCTTCTTAAAATGAAACCAAAATACACTGCTATTATGTTCTGTTATTGTATTTCTGATATTTATCACAAGTCTCTGGGCTGCTTCCCTCTCCAAATTAAAGCTGATTATATGAGAAAAAATTGGTTTGAAGCAATTAATAGGCCTTTAGAGGAAAACTGTAAAGAGCTTGCACCTGCATCTTCTATTCATTGCCATTATATATCAGCATATTAACTTGTTATTACACTCTTAGCGGCTAAGTCTACCAGTCTTTGAGAGCAAAATTCATTGCTGTTTATGACCTCCAACAGCTCTCATAGGTTAACAACAGAGTATTTAAAAACCTGTTTTTTTCCTGTCATAATTTTAATAAAAACATATGGCCATATGTTTTAATAAAATGGCCAGAGACAAAAAAGTTGGAAAATACAGAATATAGATCTGGGTATTTGTGCCTATGACTAAGTTACCTAGATTACCGACTTTCACTGTTATGACCTAAATTTGGCCACGATTTTGGAAGCTTCCTGATCCTGGTCATTTAGAAAGTATCCCACAATTGCCAATCCAGATCAATTTTGTCTAGGGTTAGGAGCATCAGAAGACCAAATCAGTATAATTTTAAATGTTGCATCATACATGCTAACAAGATACAAATATTTCAAATTCACACTAAACTACATGGTATTGTCTACATAAAAATTATATGTACATTCATGTCCCCAACACTTCTCTTAAGTTCATCATAAGCATTTCTTATACATTTTTACACAAAGATATCAAATACCCAAGGTGGTCTCATACATCCTAGTTTAATTCCTGCTCAATGTCAAACCATTTATTCTCATGCATGCTTTATATTGTATTATTACCATGTTCAATAATCAACTTATAGGTGTTCAAAGTGTTCTGTAAATCAAACCTATTCACTTTATCATATTCTTTTTCAAAATCACAAAATGTGCAATAAATTTTATTTCTCTGTTATTTGCTAAAGATCAGAAATGTGATCTGTATATTTCTTTTTTGGCATAAAGTCACATTAAATATCTCAAATTTAGCTCATTGTTGCCTCTTGTGCCCTTTCAATCAAAATTATAAATTTTTCCAGGTACACTTTACCAAGCTGATCTGTTTGTTTGTTTGTTTACTGTAACTACCCATCTCACAAAAGTTACTTGGGCAGCTTACAGGAGCAGAATAATTAAAACTATATTACAATATAAAAACATCGTGCTGGAGCCCATTCTTGGAGAACTTCTCTATATATGCTATACACACAGAGAGAAGTTCCCTGAGGGTGGGCTCCAGCACGAGTCCAAAAGCTTGTAAGACTAAATCTCTGGTCCCAGTGACCAACTCAGATTGGATCCTGCATGGATGACATGCTTGGTTTGACATGTATGTATGTCTGTGTGTCTGTGTATGTACGTTTGAAAGATTAGATAGTAGATAATCTTTCAAGCTTAGCTCCAATCATTTCACAAACACATGCAGATAATTTCTTCTCAATAATACAGGTACTTCCTTCAGATTGCAGTTTTTGATGGGGGTTTCTTTTGTTTGTTTTTTCTTTCCCAAATTGCCTAGAACGTTAGGACACTCTGGTAACCTCCCATCTACATGCTTCTCAGATGCATCTTCTACCTAGTTGTTTAATATAGCCAAGAACAGCAAGGTGCTGCCACCTAGCTGGGCTTAATTTATGTACGTGATAACAATTTTATAACTTTTAACCTACCTTTTAAACTGCAGATATTGTAAATTGGTTTTAAGCTGATATGTGTTAATAGTTCTTTTTAGCAGTAAAAACAACAAAAAACATAGAATAATCTGCTATTACTGATTTCACAGCACTAAGCAAAAGTGCTTCTCTTCCTCCTCCCCATCTTGTATTCCTCAGACAGTCTTCTAATTAGGCCCACCTAGTTATAGCTTTTATCAGTTTGCTAGGACAAACATCTTCAGGTTTTGCTTTTAGTTAAAGGGGATGGAAAAACAATAGGATAACATTCTATTTTGTTACTAGTAGTTCCAGTTTTTAATATTGTTTTAATGTTTTGATATTTTAAGGAAGTAACATATAAATCTACTAAGAGAAGTGATAACTGAAGGCTGAATAAATGGTTGAATTGGGTTTCCCCCATTGAATAGTCTTAGGTCAGAGCATTGAGTATTACATAGCATGTTAAAAATGAAAGCATTCCATTCCTTCAGAGCATCTCAAAGAGATTATTAATATTTCCTTCTTTTACACATTTCAACTTTTACAGCCCACATGAGGTTGAGGGGTTTTTGACTTAAGGATGGAGTAAATGTAGCAGTATGAGCATACTTTACATCCAAATGATTGAGACAAGTTATTTAAATTAAATCACGCAACCATTTGGACCAAGTAAACAGCCTGTCAGCTTCTTAGATTTTTATAAGCTTCACTGTTGAAAGTTTATTGCTAAGCATTTGTAATGGCTTGTTCTCTTTGCAATATTTAGAACCAAAAAATGTTATCTTTCATGTATACCATCCTGTATGATTTAGGAGGCAATATTAAAATTACTCTCAAGAGCCATTCAGGAATTTTTGATCTCCCTCAGTCCCTATTCATACTATTTTTTCAATCAGGCCAAAGTGCCCTAGTTCCTTACATTCCTAGATCCAGATATAGCAAGGAGGAAGGTTTTGGTGAAAAAAAAAGACACCATTTTGCTTAGTCTATTATGGCCTGCATAAGAAAATGCTACTTCAAAACTGGAACAACTCACAAACATACCAGGAGCTATCAGAGGTATGTTTTGAATATGAGATTAAGGCAATGTTATGGCGTGGCAGCAAAGTAGTTGCCAGGACATATGAGCCACGGTGGCACAGTGGTTAGACTGCAGTATTGCAGGCTATTTCTGCTGCCTGCTGGCTGTCTGCAATTTGGCAGTTCAAATCTCACCTGCTCAAGGTTGACTCAGCCTTCCATCTTTCCAAGGTGGGTAAAATGAGGACCCAAATTGTTTGGGGGCAATATGCTGACTCTGTAAACCGCTTAGAGAGGGCTGTAAAGCACTGTGAAGTGGTATATAAGTCTAAGTGCTACTGCTATATTCAACTATGGTTTGGTACATGGAGAATAAATTGCTTCCCCACCCCACTCTCATAAACTACTCCAGAAACAGAAAAGTAACTTTTAAGCAATGCTATGGGGCATAGTGAGTCATTGGAATTTTTTTCTTTTTTACACTGTGAGAACTATTCAGTTTAAAATAATGTCATTATAATCTTTTACCATCCTACTCCTTCTCACTATTTCAATGTGATTATTTTGTTAATTATAGGAACCAAACAGGGATTTGATTTAGTAAGTATAGGATTGGACTGTGTCTGTGACTGGAGTAATACAAAATAAACTGAAGAGCACATTAGCCCCATATCTTTTCAATTTGAATTACTAATGCATTTTCTACATCTGGAAAGTGTGTTCTGGACTAGAAAGCAAATTGAAGAGATGCAACCAACAAAAGTAGCTAAAATAAACTAGGTCTTTTAAAAAGGAGCTATTATGATCAAAACTCTGCATTCTTCAGTTATCTCAAGCACTATTCTGCACCTGCAATTAATTGCAGGCATTTTTGCTTATAAGTATACATTAAATTGCAGCTGCCAAAATGGGACAGGACTCAAGTGTTTTGAAGATAAGACTAATACATGCTTTATGCATAAATACATCAAAGTTAATTCTATGCTTCTTAGGCTTTTGGAAAAGCTATTATAATGTAATCACTATTAAATGTAGTTCAGCTATCTTTTTGATTCAGCATAACTCAGAGGTGCTCCATCATATGAATAACTGGCAATATCAGTATGAGATCTTGGAAAGCTTTTTAAAGCCAAATCACACTCCCAGTATCACCAAGAACAGGAATGGTATACAGTATTTGTTATACTTAAACTGCTTTAAGCTGTTTCCTCCTGGATGTTTATCAGGCTGGAGAAAAATGCTTTCAAGCCAAGAAGTGCAACAAAGTAAGGAAAAGTACATTTTTACTTCTTCTGCCCATATATTACTTGATTAAATGCGCAGGTGTTCATTTCACTATAACATGGTCACACCTGGTTTAATTACAGGGTTAATACAAAAGGAAGAGTAAAAAAATATTCATTACTTCTATACAATGAACTGTTATGCTATGAGCAAATGCAAAGAAAAAACTTTGTACACCAAAGGTCTAGAGATACCACATAATGTATGAGAAGATTAAGCAACCAAATGTTTACAGATGGGATACACCCTATTATGGCTTATTCATCTCATACTGTTATTAACAGCTATATTCTTACAAGTTTATGTAAAAGGTAATACATCAGCTGCTACTAATGCTTCTGTCTCAATCCAAAGCTTTATTATTCACTTTCCAATTCTAGCTCTGCACCTCATAAGCAGTCTCTCCACTCTGCTATGAATCTCTCTCTTCCTCTATCTTACCACCTCAGGTACTGAGCCATGATTCAGAATCTGATTCTTGATCTTGAATCTAACAATTTTGATCCAGCTGGGCCTGTGCTTCAGGATTGTCAGCCTTGGGGAATCAGAATTCAAATGAGACTGTTCAGCTGGACCCAATCAGATGATAAGGAACAACTTTCAGGTCTAGACAAATACCAAGAGAGCAGAGCAGTACTCCTCAGTGAAGGCCCTTATGGGGCAGGGGCTGAGTAATTGCAGCCGGATGTCTGCAGACATATTTAGGTATTTATTTTATTTATTCAATTTATATGCCGCCCCTCTCCGAGGACCCAGGGCGGCTCACAATACACTCAAAAAATCACTATAAAAACACTTAAAAATTAAAAACCTTAAAGACAGTAAAACCCATTCACACCATTCATGGCCGGATCTCGTCAGATCGCAAAGCGAGATCAACAGTCCCAGGCCTGCCGGAAAAGCCAGCTCTTCACCGCTTTTCGGAAGGCCAATAGGGTGGGGATGGTCTGGACCTCAGGAGGTAACTGGTTCGAGAGCTGGGGCAGCCACAGAGAAGGCCCTCCCCTGCGGGCCTGCCAGCCGGTATTGTTTAGCTGACGGGACCCAGAGGAGACCAACTCTGTGGGATCTTACCAGTCACTGGGAGCTATGCGGTAGAAGGTGGTCTCGAAGATAACCTGGCCCTGAGCCATGTAGTGCTTTAAAGGTAATAACCAACACCTTGAATTGTGACCGGGTAGCTGCTTTGCTTGCAGCCTTTGTTGGAAACAACTATTTAAAATCCTAGTTTATAGCTGTTGTTTCTGTTTGTGTCATCCTTTGACTCTTAGACCAGCTGACAACCTGATTTGGCTTTTTGTGAGTCTTAGAACATATTTGAATTACACTATTGCTTCTTTGACTGTAATTAGCATTTTACAAGCAAGCACTCTCTGGTAGGCATTTGAATTACATTGTCTGCTGTTATCAGGTTCTGATTACTGTGTCTGTTTGTGACCACAACCTGAAACAGAACAACTTCCCAATTCCATCTACTCCTGCATCAATCCATTTACATGTAATGCTTTCCACAATGCTCTTCTCGCTTTCTACTAACCACCCATGCATTCCAAAAACAAATTCCTGAAATAGCATCTATAAAACTAATCCAGACAAAACTAGCTATACTAAACTACCTACCTAAGCATCACATTTTTAAAAATATATGGATTTTCTTGAACCTGTCTCATATGGATAGAAATTATGTCTATTGGACAAGCATCAAAACATGTGACTTTGTCTTCTGCATGGTCAAAATCTATACAAATATTTCAAATTGCTATTTTCTTTATGCAAAATAACTGGAAAGGAAATGGGGGCAGTATCCACAATCATCCAAATTTTACACTTAATTTTGCATGTAACTAATTGGGATTTAAATACACAAAACAAGATGCTGATCAAGTGCATTCAAATTGCTATCACATATATAGCAAAATCTGGTATTTTAATGATGATCAAACACTATTCAAACACTGCAGTTATTAACATCAAATTGCAAGCTTTGGACTACAAAAATTGAAAACTTCACTTTGGTTGAATACAGTCTAAAATAGATGTTCCATAAATGTTTATTACTCCTTTACTGTTAAAATGAATAATTCTGTGGCAACATGACTGCAGAAACATCTTTGACAGCACTGGCTCAATGGCCTTGAAATGGAGATAAGCACCGCTCCCTGTAGGTAGCAACAACTAGCAGAGTAAAATCCACAGGGACTTTACCTTTTTATTGTTAGAGAGGTCAACTTAACTACAGTGCCAATCATGACACAAATACTGCCACTTATGTTCTTGTGTTAGATGTTATTACATCAGTACTTAATGGCAATTTTGTGACATGAAGTGATAAATACAGTGCATGTTTGCATCAATGAAGCTTGTTGCCGGCACCATTAGTTGTAATAGTATAGCTACCATAAACTATCTTAACACTTCATTTGTTTCTACCTATTTAAATGCACTAAAGACAACTGGAGTTAAGACATTTTTAAGGGCTTCCTTCTGATAAGATTCTATGATTCAGTAGATCATATCTACTAGTGAACTCAATGAAATCTTCACATACAAAATTCCAAGGATAATTGGGCTTGACCATGAACTATGGCAGTAAGACAGCTTTTCTTATATAACTACAGGTAATCCTTGACCATGGAGTTACAGCAGCACTGAAAAAAGTGACAACCACCAATGCACCATTATGACTGTTGTAGCATCCCCATGGCCATGTGATTGACATTTGGATGCTTGATAGCTGGTTCATATTTACGATGGTTGCAGTGTCCTGGGATCGTGTGATCATCTTTTGTGACATTCTGACAAAGTCAATGGGGAAGGCAGTCACAACTGAGTTACTAATTTAACTGCAATGATTCATTTAACAAATGTGACCAGAAAAGTTGTAAAACGGGACAAAATTCACTTAACAAATTTCTCACTTAGCAACATAAATTCTGGGCTCAATTGTAGTGATAAGTCAAGGACTACCTGTATACGGTATATATTGCCTCAACTCCTGGAAAAAATGGGTGGGTAGAAGTTTGCCACTATGCAATGATTTGGGTCTATCTGACATTGTGAGAAAGCATATTCTTGGCTCAGGATGAAAATCTGAGCAACTGGATTTGGAGGAGAAAGTTCTTTGTTACAATTCTTTTCTAGGTATTATTTGCAACACTGTCATTCAAGCAACATTTTAAAGCCATACATTTAGAAGCAAGTTACTTAAAGGCACTGGGATGTGACTTGTTAATCAGGTTAGTTCTTTCACCATTTGTCAGGGGTGAGGTATGCTGACACTAACCATCAGACAAGATTTAATTTCAGTTATGCCTAAGGAAAAGTTTGTTTTCTGTTCAGCTTCTTTCAAACTCAGAAATGTGATCAGCATTGAGTATTATCAGGACAAGTCTTCAGTTCTGACTTTTTTGGTCTGTTCACTTGATTCACACTGTGGATCTTTCCTCTTATTTTTCTGCTGCTGAAGTCTCTCTTCTTTCTTTTTTAGATAAATGGACATATTATCAAAAGAAGCCTTGTAGAGATTTTGGAAGCAGCTCTCTTTGTCCATAGCACCTGCAGAAGGTAGAGTAAGTCAGAATTTTAAGTAACAATTACTTTACAGTACCTGGCAAATTAGTAAATATTTATAAGCAGAGATTTTGTTTATGCCTAAAATGAGAACAGATATTTAAGTCCTTATAAACCTACCTCCTACCATGTAGAGGAAAAAAAAACTATTCCAATTTCAGCTACGCAAAGTTGTAGGTTTTCCTTTTCCCACATTTGATACCTAACAGCAATCGTTCTATCTGATTAGCTAAATTGTTTCCGTCCCATTGGTTTATGACAAATAAAACTTTGGCCCATACTGGTTAATGATATGCATATCCAAACTATTAGCAAAAGAACAGATAACCACATTTGGACTAGAAGCTCTCCAAATTTCTTGCCCTTTTAGTTGCTGCAGTGCACAATTAAGATAGCTGATCCTCCCAGTCACTTGTCAAAGAAAAAGGAGGACAGATTCAATTAGGTAACTAAAGCACATATTAGGAAGAAGAGAGACAAACTCTAATATACAATGAGGAAAGGTGTCCAATAGAGGTCACTGTGACATCACATGCACTGTGATATTGTTGTGCAAAGGGCAAATTATGTAATTTATATGTGATGAATAATATAATGTATGTCATTTGCATAATGACATTTATAGGGTTATTTACTCTCCAAATGTCCATGAGAAAAATGGTGAACACAGCTGTTATCAGTAGCTATTAACAATCTACTTTTTAAAAAAAAAGTAATAAATTTCTGATTCCTTTAGAGCAGGGCTAATGCAGCCTCTGGGTCATATGCAGCCTAAATATTCCCACTTTACTGAAAACTGTCAAAAATCTAAAAACTGAAAGAAAACTGTAATGCTAAAACTATAAACTCCAAAAGTAAGCAGTTTAAAAATTAAAGATATCTCCCAAACTACTTCCAAACCAAGTTTCACTCATAAATGTTGTGGATCTATCACATGGCTGCCTCAATCTCTCCTAAATTAAGGGTGCCAATAGACCTCAAAGAGCTTGTTTACCATTATTTGAGAGATTAATTGCTTAACTATGAAGGATTAAAAACTGATCAATATATATGGTAATTCTATGACAATTTCTCCTTTCTCCCATGTTTTTTGTCAAATTGAGAATTTGCTTGGTTCCTCACCAAACAATGTCATAGGAGTGCACTTCTCATTCTGGCAAAGATCAGTACCCATTAGAAGTTTATGGTAAGCATCATGTAGTTCAAATTTAACTGACAAGATGAATTTAAGGATGATTTAACTGATACCTTACTGAACTACTGAGCAGAACTAAAAACAGCTACCATTAGGATTGCAATACTTATCTGCCTCAGCGAAGAAAATAATCACCAGCTCTACATAACTATTAGTCTTTCTATCTGACTGCACAAAATTAACTCTGTGGTGGATTTTTTATTTCAGCAACTGTTCTAAAAAATGGTTGAAAAATTCATTCCCACCCACCTTACCAATTTTCAAAATGTTACAGCAGAAAAAATACTTTGTTCCCCTTTAGAAGTGGAAGACGGAAAAGAGGTAGTAAAATGCTGGCAACAAAAATATATAGGAACCACCATTTTCGTAGGGGTAGCAACACTAATTAGGTATTAAGAGCAGGACTTATTAATGAGCTCTCTGTTAATTATCTACAATAATCACTGTCATTTTAATAGTCCCCTTTATTCATCTGCTGATACAGTTAAGATCTGTGCACAACATTCTACTTCTTACCAGGAGGGGGTAAATCTGAGGGAATGACTCTGTTGTGTTTTTATGGTATTCAGCTATTCTTCTGTGTTAACAGTAAGTTGGGCATTTTAACACTTGATCCCTGTGGTTTAAAGCAATGTTTCTTAATCTTGGCAACTTGAAGATGGGCGGACTTCAACTCCCAGAATTCCTCAGCCAGCTAAAACCCACCCATCTTCAAAGTCAGCAAGGTTAAAAAACACTGAGCAATGAGGCTTCCAGGTAACTTCTCCCACCTCCAAGAACCAATGCTCATGCAGAAACCAAAGCTAAAACTAAAGTCAGCTTTAAGTTTCAGATATGGATTCTCCAAATTGTAATCAGACCCTCCATGTAAAGTATTTGTTGGTTTGTTAAACTCATATTTCCTACCTTCAAATATTCTCCAATGGTCACATATGTACTTGGACATTTTCACTAATTCTTTCTTGTCAATAATAGGCTGAAAACAAAACAAAACAAAACAAAACAAAACAAAACAAAACAAAACAAAACAAAACAAAACAAAACAAACAGAACAACAGTAGTTATTGAAAATTTCATAGGAAGCAGGGGGCTTTTCATACAGGCTGGCTTGTACTGAGAACAGCTCCTGTAATTTTTTGCTTTGCCTGACCCATTTCCATGTTTTCATGAAGGTATACAACAACAACAAAGATATTCTACTTTCAGATGAAAAATAAGTAAATTAGGTCAGTGCTTCTTTTTCCATAACAGCAGATCTAGTTTTTTAATTTAGACTGCTGTATATTGACCCACAATTACACTAGGTTTATAGCTATGCACACATACACATAGGGTTCCCAGTTTGAGCTGCTATACCCTATTTTCTTTTTCCCAAGTTTAACTGAGAAATTTTCAAACCAAGGTACAATATTCTAACAAACCAAAAGCCCTGCTGCCAACAAAATGGCAGGACAGATGTGACAAAAAAGTAATATTTACATACTTTTGGTCTTTTCTTTTATATACTGCATATATAAAATTTAGTTATGATTTGAACTGAGTCGCTATATCCCACTCAGCATGTTCAATTACTGTGTTTCCCTGAAAATAAGACCCTGTCTTATATTTTTTTGAACCCTGAAATAAGTGTTTGGCCTTATTGCCATGCGCTCAAAAGCCTGATTGGGCTTATTATCAGGGGATATTTTATTTGGGGGGAAACAGGGTACCTATTGCCTAACAATACTCTAAATTTTAATCTGAGGGATCTATGTTGAACTATATTTTCTTGTTTAGAACTAGCAAAACAAATTGCCATAGAAAAATCATTAAAGAGCTGAAGTATTACACTACAGAAATGCACGGTAATCAGGACTTCGGGTTGACATCGCGGTGAGATCAGACACGAGAAGAGGTCTCCGCGTTCCCGTGCCAAATCCTCCCTGTTGGTGGGCTCTGAGAGAAGCCGAAGCTTCCCTGTAGAGGAGGCGAAGCAAAGAGGGGTGCCCTGCGTGGTCGCAGAGAGACAACTCTCCTGCCTGACCCGGGGTTTTTCTTTCCCTCTCAGCCACGACGAGGAGAAGAGGCAGCCTAAACATTGATTCGGGTATCTAATTTTGTCTTTATAAACTGAATTAAATTTGGATCTTAATTTATCACGTTTGAAACAATGCTGAAACCTCTGTTGATGCTGCCATCTACTGGTGAATGGAATATACTACACCCATACAAATCTAGGAAAATTTTGACAGAAGATATAAGCAACATCTTTTTGAAGGATTGTGGTGATACTTACTGTCCTATAATTAATTACTTTACTACTGTGATAAGGAAGACTTCTAAGTAAGGTAAAATTACTTTTGTTGTGTGGAAACTGTCCGGACTTTTTGATGATGAGCAAAACTGGAACTGAATATATTGTTTGTGGCCCTGACTAAAAGTGGACTTATTAAACTAAAACAAGATGCCTTTTCAGGGGGAAATGAGTGAGATTTCAAGAGAAATGGCATGGATGTTTCAAAGCATCAGGGATACCATGATAAAGAACCAAAGAGAGATAAAAGACTTAATCCAAGGTATAAGTGACAAAGTAGAAAATATGATCCAACTGGCAATGAATGAAGATCAAAGAGTCCAGGAAAAAAAGGAAGCTGCAGAAAGAATGGAGGAAAAGATAGAACAGACAAATTACCAAATAAAACAAGAGGATGTGTATTGATGTTGATATATGTTTAAAAATAAAAACCCAATAAACCTTTAAAAAAAGAAATGCATGGTAATCCAACCATTGTAATTCAGCAATTGGCCAGAATCTTTTGCCATACACCACAGAATTAAAAATATATGTAGCAGTCTATGATCATAAAAATTCTCTCACCTGCCACTGTCCATCCTCAGGCTGGTAGAATAGAAGAGGTATTTGCTGATTCTCCTGCAGTACCCAGACCCCACCTGTTTCCTCAAATGCAACGTCCCAACCTTTGTGGTTTAAGGTTATATGCTGTTTAGAAATTAAGCTCTGAGTACCGGCATCAAGCTGGAAGATGGATACTGCAGGAATACTTTTAGAAGCAACCAACATTATGTTACTTTTATACATCAGGTTTCCTACATCAATTACATCAAATGGTTAAGAAAATGATATGTCAAATGTAGTAAAGGGGTCTCCAAACTCGTCAACTTTAAGAGTTGTAGACTCCAATTCTAAGAATTCCCCAGCCAGCATGGGGAACTGAAGTTCACAACTCTTAAAAGTTGACAGGTTTGAAGACTCCTGGTACAGATTAATTCTCATCTAATCAGAAGTAACTCTTGTTGAACTTATTAGATCTTATTCTTAGGTAAATAAATATAGAACTGAAACTTTAGACGCTCTGCAAAATTAGATAAGTAATCTCTAGTGTCGGCTGGTACATGCAATATGGCCACCTTAAGGAACTCCTACGATAATATTTCAAGGAACAATCTCCAATATCTGCAATGAAGTAGCAGAAGTAATTTCACAATGTCAACATTCATTATAAATATCTATAAATTCTTATTATAATCCCTTAATTCAAATAAATTTAGGAGCCTTGGTGGCGCAGCAGACTAAAATGCTGTTAAGTAGCACTTAGCTGCCAGCTGCCTGCAATTACTGCGAGTTCAAATCTCACCAGGCTGAAGGTTGACTCAGCCTTCCATCCTTCTAAGGTAAGTAAAATGAGGACCCAGATTGTGGGGGCAATAAGCTGACTTTGTATAAAAAGAACACCGCTTGGGGGCCCCCGAAAGCCCTACTAAGCAGGTATATACAAAAGTATGAAGGCTATTGCTTAACGCATTGTAAACCGCCCTGAGTCTCCGGAGAAGGGCCGCATATAAATCGAACCAATAAATAAATAAACAAACAAACAAACAAACAAACAAATAAAGTTTCATATTGTTCCTGTACAATATCATCACTATATCTTACGTCATTTAATCAATTGATTCCATAATGCAGGTAATCCTTGACTTATGACCAGAATTGAGTCCAAAATTTCCATTGCTAAACAAGACAATTATTAAGTGAGCTTTGCCTTATTTTATGACCATTAAACAGTTGTTAAGTGAATCATTGCAGTTAAGTTAGTAACATGGTTGTCAAGTGACTCTGACTTCCTCATAGACTTTGCTTGTCAGAAGGGTACAAAAAGTGATCACATGACCCAGGGACACAGCAACTGTCACATGACTGTGGGGATGCTGCAATGGTCATAAGTATCAAAACCGGTCATAAGTCACTTTTTCAGTAACATTGTAACTTTGAATGTTCACTAAACAAATGGTAGTAAGTCGACGATTACCTGTTTAGTATAAACTTTACAGAAATCAGACAAAGCTTGTAATGAAATAATGTAATTGTCTGTTGCCTCTACAGTAATTATATTTTTTCCTCTTACCAATCATATAAAACGGCAATGTAATTTCCTTCACAACAATAAGCTATTCTTGAGACTGCATATTTCTGAGGAGGAAAAGAAATGTAAACGTAATTGGCAAGAGCTAATTTTTTTATGTGTGGGAAGAAATAGAACAGTAGTAAAAAAAACCTTGGATCAAAAACATATATATGAGGTTTTTTTTTAATAACAAAGACAAGCTGTCTCTTATTCAGTCTACCCTGTTTTCTGTTCTGAGCAAAGACAGCAAGTTGAAAAATACAAAACATCTAAGGGGGCAGAAGTTGGATGAATAGTTAGTATGTCAAAAGAAAATGTTCTTGAACCTCCATGATTGGTATAACCACTGCACAATTGTTTAGTTACAATTTTTAGACTATCAGTACATCTGTCCACACGATGGAGGTTAGTACAATAGAGAGAAAGAGTATCTGCTTATCCATGTTTATCTGGAATAATTTAGCATTCCCCAGACAGAATACTCTCATACTATCCTCTCTGAGATCAACCCAATAGCATTTATTTAAAATTAGTGAAAAATTAAAGTAAGCCTCCAATAACACGAAGAAACATTTCTAAAAAGTTTTAAATATTAGTGTACTCATGTTATGAAGTAATTGCATTCTACAATTCTACTTCTCAAAATATTCTTTACCAAAAAACCTATATTTTATAGAATCAAAAGTTGATTTTCAGTAGCATAAACCTGCTCTCAACTTAATGACAGTTCAATAAATTCATTCAAAAAAGAAAACACAAGTGTAAAAAAGCAAAAATGGAAACATGCATATTATAGAGAACATCCACACAAAAGACAATTACCTTCTTATTCTTACCAGCTTCATTCATATTCAAATTATTCAATTGAAAGCAATGGAGTTCTTTCCCACTTTTATACTTCCAGAGCCTCAATGTACCATCCTAGGAAGTTCACGAGATGAACTAATCATTATTTTTGCCAAAGGAAAGGCTTTATTAATTGCACTGAGAGGTCTCTCATATACTATATACACATTAACAAGGTTGATATCATACTAAGATGTAATTTCTTTATCTATGGTTGGTTAAACAAGCTATAATGGCTGGGTCCACACCTAACTTTAAGCATAGGTCATGATGCGTAAATCACCACAATGTGCATAATACAATTTGATGAGCAAAAAAACAAAGAAACCACATTGTGACTTAGCATAACTATAAATTCAGCCAATGGTTTAAAAGCCCTCTAAGATACATGCATATATATCTCATGTATATTGAGCAATAAATATTCATAATTTCTAATTATTTCTAATAACATATTACTATATTTCATATTGAGTTTAAGTAGATATTAATAATGAATAATGTGATGTAAAACACATGGGAGAATGATGATTCCCTATAATGTTAATCATTCTTCATGTTTCAGCCAAAAACATGAGAGGCAGCAAGAGAAATTGAATCTTTTACATTAGAGGAAAGAAAAAAAGCATTTTTATAAGCATTTATTAACATTCTAAACATAAAGAATCCCAGATAATTTACATACCCCGGAAGCAGATAAAAGAAGATCAGAAAAGTTTGGTGGTACCAATATTCTGCTGACAAATCTAGAAAGAAAAAAATAAATTGAAACAAAAGCAATAAACAGTAAAATTATATGTATATACAGCTGTGCAAGAAATTTTGTACCTAGACTGATATCTTTCCTTGTATTTCTAGAAAAATCTGCATATAAAAAGTTTACCCTAATATTTTTTCTTTTTAATAAATTAGTTTTAAAAATAGTCCAGCAATCTATTCAGATTCTTGAAATACATTCTTCTCCAATTTTTACATAACAGTGACAAATAACAGGAAAAAAATCTAGAATAAGATAATGTATAACTCTTAACTGAATTGCAGACCTCCATTTTATTTCATGATCAAGCTGAAGTATTGGGACTTCAAGTATCATACTAATGTAGATTTGTATATGATAGCTATAAGTAGCAATCTCCTAGTGAAGCGTTTCTTTGAACATTAAGACTAATTTATTGCCACTAGAAACAAAGCATGACTATATTTATTTATTATTTATTTATTAGTTCAATTTATATGCCGCTCTTCTCCGAAGACTCAGGGCAGCTTACAATGCACTTATAGCATATATGCTGAGGGTGCACAAAATGCTGTTACCTTTCCACTGAAGTGGTACCTATTTATCTACTTGCATTTGCATGCTTTCAAACTGCAAGGTTAGCAGAATTGAGAAGTCTCAATTCTTATCCTTCATTGGGGACTAAGACTATCAGCATGTATGCAGAAAGAAGGATGTGAATGCACACACATACACGTAAAAGAAAATAATAATTCTTTTAAATACTCTTAGATTTTTTTATTAACAAATGTTTTTTAGGCTAGGGAATGTTCTAATGGATGACATATTAGCTACATTTTGACAATAACAACATAATTTTTTCTGAAAATCTGAATTCCCTCAGCATCCAACTCATTTATTTCTTCCCAAATCAGAGCTAGAATGGATTCTTTAAAAATAATTCAAGGAAGTGAACATTTATTATTATTTTAAAGTAGTCTAAAGCATTTCTGATCCCAAGAGATTGATTAGAATACTAGCTATTATTAAGCTTGGGCTTAAATATATCTTCCTTCTTCTTGTTTCCTTATGTTAGTAAAGAGGAGGAGTTTCCTTTCAATCTCATTGAAAAGTTTTTTGGTTACTCACTCTCTATGACCCAGGCAAAAGGACACTATAACATGCGGTGCTTTAGTCAAACTAACTCGGATCTTCTCATCTCGATCAGCTGTTACAATATACTGGTCATCAGGACTCAATGTCTAATGATAACAGAGCAATAGAAATATAATCAATGGCATGTTCAGGCATAATCATCCACGCACCAACTGTATCATTTGTTTGGCTTCAAACTGATAATCTGAGAAAGACCGGAAGGAATATTGAAAAGTTACCGGTCTACAACATTTTACAAACCTATTTACATATATATGCATTTGTCTTAATAATTGCTAATATACAGAAAATCATCTAATTTTTTAGTCTCATTTGACAGAGTTGAACTCATTAAGTAACTATGCAGTACACACTACCTCTCAGCCCAAACTACCTCATAGGGGTGATTCTGAGAGAGGGAAAAAAATAAGACTTATTTTTTATCAAATTATTTATCAGTTTTTAAAACTGCCCATCTCCCTCAGCGTGACTCTGGGCTGTGTAGAGATAAAATATCAAACCATAAAAAACAGTATATACATTTAAAAAAAAAAAAAAAGCATGGATGAATTAAAAATCAGTGTCAAACTTAATTAAAAGGCAGGGAGAGGGCTTTCAGGACACCAGCCAGCCTCATGCCTGTATGAGGCTATGTGAGTCCCAAACAAGATCTCAGAAAAAGTTTTTACGCCTTTCAGGAAGGTCAGGAGGAAGATGTTCCACAGGGCAGGGACAATGGCATAGAAGGCCCTCTTCTTGGACCCTGCCAGTTGGAATTCTTTATCTGACAGGATTTGTAACATGCCTTTCCTGCCTGATGAAGACAGACTTAAATTTGATTAGTCTTTAATAAAATATATTATTGGAAATATCCATTAAAAACTCATGTGTACCAAATCCAACAAAAGAGACAAGTGTCCAAGCTCAATTGTTCCTGCATTTTTTGGTTCTATTATTGAATAAGAATACACATCGCCAGATTTGTCAGCAACCAAAATTTTGTCTTCTGTAGATGTTATTATCAGGGAGGTACATCTTCTCATGACAGGTCTGAAAAAAAATAGACATAATTCAACATTTTGGAACTTCAGAACCTAACATGGTCTACATGTGACCAACGAAAGCATAACAAATCTATAACACCCATCATTTCCTAGAATTCTAAAAATGGGTTGGGAAAGATGCCTGAGACATCAGCTTGGAAACAGCTGTATTAGGTTCACAGCAAAACAACAACAACAACAACCACAACCAAAACCTTGTATCACAAGTATGTGAGGCTTGGCATGGTTTGGGAGATTTGCAATGTCATGGAAAGTGATTATGAAGCCATTGGCTTATCCAAAAGTTTGCAGAGCAACAGAAAAATATTTATAGGCTGTTCTTCAGCTGGAGTGACAAAGGAAACATAAAACACAACAATAAAGCTAAGAAACAAATCCAAGCAGAACAGTAAATTTAATATAACAAGGTAAGGAATGTGTGTGTATATATCTTTTGAGACAGTCTTGATTTTTGGCAATTACCTGGACTAGACCCTGCAGTTTTCTTGGAAGTGGTTTGCCCTTGCCTGCTTTCAAGGCTGAGAGAGAGTAAGTGACCCAAGGTCACTCAGGAAAGATCATGCTAAGAAATGTACGGTCTCTGGCTTCTAGCCTAGTACCTTAACTGCTACACCAAACTGGCTCTCTATGGAAAACATGCATAATTTCTGTTACTAATGCTTAGATTTATAAAAATATTTTAAAACATTTTCCTTCCCATACCTTATGCTCAGACATTCCCAGGAAGGCTTTGTGCAGAAAAGAATTAATTGTTTGTTGTCATCAGTCAGAACAAAATACTTCCCTGATGAAGAAAATGCACAGGCAAGGATATTATTTGTTTTGCCTAGTGGCTTTCCATCCTCACTAAAGAGAAAAAACATGAAACATTTGATTCAAAAATAAACCTTTTCAAGCATTTCAAATTATATTTTCTGGGATAAAATTTTCAATTATTTTACAGAATATCTGTTCTTTGATCATGTAAAAAAATTAAATATCTATGGAGATTCTCAGTTATCCAGGTCATGGTTATCCCAAAGGTGCTTTTTCAAAAGGCAACTGGGCTTTCTGGTTTTACTTTGAAAACGTTTTGAGGCGAAACATCTTCAAAAAAAACAAACAAACAGAAAGTCCAGTTGCCTCTTGAAAAAGCACCTTTCGGATAAAAAAATTAAGAAACAAGGGAAGCTATTTCTTAGTATTAATTTTAATTATTTAATTTTACTTTGCGTTTTAACTGATACCTTGGTAGAAAAGACACTCCTCTTATAGGCAATGCTTATCTAAGAGAGGTAAATGCCATATTTTCCCAAAGTATCTCTAGAGATGCTTAATTATAGATTCAATTATCCCGTTAGCATGGTTGTTTGTTCTTTGATGAGAGATTGCAGTAGAAGTAATGTTTTATATACCTGGGAAATTAAATACTCTCACCTTTCTTGTTTTTCTTGAAGTTTTTTGCTTGCAGTACTACAGTCATAAATGAAAAGATCATCATTGCTGTCAAGTAAATGAATATACTTCAGATAAATATTTCCTATGGAAGCAATCTCGTGTTGAACTCTTCAAAAACAGAGCAATGTTCCCTATACCAATAGGTTAGCAACCTACAGCTCTATTTTTTTTCCAGACCTAAACCTACTCTCTTTTGTTGGTATTCTCAACACCTATTCCAATTTCTCTGAATCTTTGTTAAAATATGAAACCTAAAACAGAAAATAATACTTGAGGTAGAACATGATCAATGCAAATATAGTGGAGCAATATACCTACTGATACAGAATAAAACTGAATTTGCCTTTTCAGCAACCTTATATTCAACGTGGTCAGCTATAAGTCAAAATACTTCTTCAGAATATGAATGTCAAGCCAAATATACCTCTATCTTGTTTCTGTTCATTTGATTTCTTTTTTCCTGTTTCTACTTTATTGTTATTTTACCTTTATTTTTCAGCTTGTATGCTGCTTTAAGTACTCTTTCATCCCACTTTTTTTGTTTGTCTTCTACAGTATGTTATCTCATACCGTTTTCTTTCATCTAAAATTTGCAAAGTATTTCCTCCATCTCTCAATCTGCCAAACGCTTAACATTTGTCAGCTAATTAACAAATACCCAATAGCCTATGTTGACTTACAAATCAAATTACTATCACACCGTTTGTCAGATTCTATGCTGAAATTAAGATATATTATATCCACAGGATCCCTACAGTCTATTAAGAAAAATACATCTTATAATAAAGAAAGCATCTTCACTAAAAAATCTATGTAGAAATCTAAGAATAAATTAAAATGTCCACAAGTTCTCAATACTTCCATTTGGTCTCTTAAGTGTTCTCCATTAATTAGATATTGGTTAGATATTTTATGCCTTCCTCTATCCTGTGAATGAGTGTTAAAGAGAAGACTTTAAGAGGTGGTCAGAAATTTCTTAGGTATATCATGCTTGGTAGAGTTTATCCCCATATAGATACTTGGAATGAATTCTTTCATGACACTCAATTCATACTTTTTTAAAAAAGGCTTTTGGAGAGTTATTGAATTACTGTAAAAGATAATTATTGCTACTATTGGAAACAATACTTTTTTTTAGAAACCTCCAAATGTGGATTTTGAGTCTGTTTTGGTGTCTTTTAGTTACTGATGATTCCTGGCAACTGCCTGGACAAGTCCCTGCAGTTTTCCTCACAGGGTTTTTTGGTCATTATTTGCCACTGCCTCCTTCCTAAGGCTGAGGGAGAGTGCCTGTTCCAAGGTGCACCAAAGCCAGCAGTAACCACTCCACCAAATCGGCTCTTTCTTCATGTTAGTAGTCTCATAATTTAAGTGTGCACGGTTGATAGAAGCTCCACTCTCTTTTTCTCCGTATTACTTTACCTTTGCCACTTTGCTAAACTTCCACTGTCAGGTCTGTACATGTACAATATGTAAACTAGCCCCACATTTCTTCAAAATATATTGGACTATCATTCCCATTATGCCAATCGGTATCCATCTGTTAACAGTAACGGAAGTATTGATCTAGGGACCAAAAGGCAAGTGAAAGTTTATTTAAACTCCCACCTTTCAGACACACACAGCCTTTCACTCACTTGGTCTCTTTATAATTAGCGGCGAAGAACTTCGTGCCGCCGCTAACCACCATCAGATCCTCGCGAATGAGGAGCTGCGGAGCAGCACTCACGATTCCAGCAACATCAACCGCCTCCATCGTCACGGCCAGACCCACGTTGGGTCGCCCGAGATTCGTCACCAGCTAATGATGTCATCCCCCGGCCTACTAATGATGACCTCAGAAAAGCCCGGATTGCCATAGAGATGAGCGTATAGTTGTTTGGAACCTGAACCGCTAATGTGGCTAGACTTACTCCTCGTTCCTCTGTGGGAACAGAACTATTAGAAGATGAAAAGTCTAATCGGTAATTCCAACAGAAGGCTGCCATAGGTTTCCATAATCTCGTCTCGTGATAATGAATGCCCTGGGGGAGGCGCCATCATAGAGAGGAAAGAACATAATTCTTTATTCTTTATTGATTAATATTATTTTATTTATCCCTTTTATTGAAAACGGAAGAAAATAAAAGGAAAGGAAATGCACTCATAAAGGGGAATGTTTGCAGGGTTGAAATGAGGGGTCCTTGGGTGCTGATGAGGTTAATGAGGTTAACTAGTTTGGTTAATAAAACGTCTGCAAGAAAAGAAGCTCAGAAAGCACCAAGGACCCCCCCCCCCCCATATTGCACTCAAGACAACGGTCCAAGGACGTCCTTCCAACATTTTTCGCTGAAGCTCTGTTCATGTCCGTCCGTCTGGGTTTAGAAGAGCCCCTCCACTCCTCCGTAATCTCCCAAACTAAAGGGAACTCTCCGTTCCATCTCCCGCCGCTACTAAGCAACACAAACACTTCCTACCCACGTGAGCCGCGTACAGTACTTGCCTCCGGACAGCGGTTGCGGAAGGGAGATGGGGTGGGAACCTTTTCTTTTCGGCCAAAGGAGGACACCGAACAGGTTTTGGGAGACGCCAAGATGGCGGCCTCCCTGGTGACTCGCTACGGTCGTATTGCGGCGTTTAAGGTAATGGAGGATAAGATTCATTAAAAGGAGTTGCTCGTAGATTCCGTTTTCCTGTTAGGCGTCCGCCGGTATAAGCAATTGATCCGTCCTATGTCTCTGCCAATAATTAGATTTATTGTCTGTTTGGATTTGACCTGAAGTTTCCAGCTGGTATAATTTGATTCAGGACATCTACTAATTTTACTCGGGATATCTACTACTATTTTGACGTAGACTGTACATGAGGATTATTTTCCAGTCAGCAAGGTGAAGAATAAACTGTTAGCGAGTAAAAACATAATCAAGAAGGGTTACAAATACATGCCTAAATAGTTTTGAGAAAAACTGAAATGAACATACCCTTGGGGCAGGGAAGAGAAAAAGGGCAGTGGTGGCAGGAAAGATAGAAGCAGTGCTATAAAGAAAGAAAATATTAAGATTTCATATGAAGCATCTTGAGCTCTTGAAATCAATTGTGGCTAGAGTGAATTTTATTTTGAAAGTTGCCTGAAGTGAGAGGTTTCAAGCAGTACCGGTAATATGTACAGTATTTCTTTGCTTGGGAGAGTAAATAAAACTGACAAAAGAAATCTTTTCATTGTTTTAGTATAATTAGGACAGGAATATTTGTGGTATCCAAATTTTCTCTCTGACAATATTTTACTTATTCAAGGTAGACCAGTTGTAGTTTCTGACGGGTATGATGTTAGGGTTTGATGTTGCTTCTTGCAGAGTTCTGGCTGAATTGACTTGAATTTTACTTATCAATTCATTTCTTAATAGAATAGGAATAGAATATTTATTTGGCCAAGTGTGATTAGACACACAAAGTATTTGTTTCCAGTGCAGAAGCTCTCAACGTACAGAGTAATAATCATAGTAATGATACCAATAACAGAGGGTACTAAAGAAGATAAGGATAATGGTAATGCCATACAATATGGGTAAATACATAGACATTTGACAGTACCGTGAGAGGTGTTCAGCAGAGTAATGGCACAAGGAAAAAAACTATATGTGTCTAGTTGTTTTGGCATGCAATGCACTATAATGGATTCCTGAGGGGAGGAGTTGAACAGTTTATGTCCAGAATGTGAGGAGTCTGTAGATATTTTCTCAGCCCTGCTTCTGACTTGGCAATATGCACATCTTCTATGGCAGGCAGGCAGGTTGGTTGCAGTTGTTCTTTCTGCAGTCCTAAATATCTGTTGGAGTCTGTACCTATCCTGTTTGGTTGCTGTAGCAAGCCAGACAGTTATAGAAGTACAAATGACTCAATTATTAGCTGCTAATAAGTACTTAGCTGTTGAATAAATATCAATAGTTCAATAGGAAGTTCAATAGCTGTTGAACTTCCTAACTTGACACAGGAAGAACATTCTTTCTTGTGCCTTTTTAATGGGAGATTATGGAACCCCAAAATTTGAAGGACTTTACTTACTTATTTATTTATTTATTATTCAAACTTCTATACCGCCCTTCTCCTTTCGGACTCAGGGCGGTGAACAGCCAAAATAAAAACATTTATACATAACATTACAATTAAAAACAGATTTAAAATAATTAATAAATTTGGCCCATAATTTAAAATTTGTCAATTTAAAATCAGTATCAAAATTTTAAAAACCAACCCTAAAATCAAGACAGAACTGAAAAAAGTAAGTTTTTAGGGCCCGAAGAAAAGTCCTGAGGTCGGAGATCACTCGTATCTCTGGGGGTAGATTGTTCCAAAGGGTAGGTGCCACCACAGAGAAGGCTCTCCTCCTGGGGGTCACCAGCCGGCATTGTCTGGCCAACGGCACCCTGAGGAGGCCCTCTCTGTGGGAGCGAACCGGCCGGTGGGAGGCTATTGGTGGCAGAAGGCGGTCCCGTAAGTACCCCGGCCCCAAGCCATGGAGCGCTTTAAAGGTGATCACCAACACCTTGAAGCGCACCCAGAAGTCCACTGGAAGCCAATGCAGCTCACGCAGGAGAGGAGTCACATGGGAGTGCCCCGTCGCTCCCATAATCCCCCACGTGGCCGCATTCTGCACCAGTTGGAGCCTCCGGGTGTACCCCAAGGGGAGCCCCATGTAGAGAGCATTACAATAGTCCAGACGAGAGGTGACGAGTGCTTGAGTAACCGTGCGTAGGGAGTCCCGGTCCAGAAAGGACTGCCGATACTGTGCTGCCAAATATAGTTAGAGGTGGTAGAATAGAAGGGCTCCTCCTAAAATCCACTCTCAGTTTTAAGCATGTGTAGTTCCAGGTTGTTCCATCTGCACCACTGTTCAACCTGTTCATCTATATGCAGACTCATCATCATCTTGAATGAGACCAATGACTGTTGTATCATTTGCAAACTTCAATACTTTAACAGGGAACCCTAAAGATGCAGTCATTGGTATAGACAGAAGAGCAATGGAGAGAACACACCGCCTTTTTTTTTTGTAAAGTTTTTTATTTTTTAAACACACAAACAAACATACAATACATCTTTTCTGAACAGAATATTGGCCCGGTCTTAAATTTATACAGATTTTTGTTCATCTTTAACACAATTTTATATATTAAATTTTTCTCATAGCATTTATTCTCTCTAATTTTAAGAAACCAATATTACCCTTCATCTTAACTTCTCATCCTAATATAGTTCAATTTTTCTTTTCCCTCCTTAAAATTTCAACCCCTAAATTTAAATTCACATAACATAGTACAATCCTCAATTATTTCCTTAAATTCTCTTATTCTAATCACCAATAATTCTTTTATCAACTGTTCCAAATAATACAATTCAACATACTAGTAAAAACCAATTAAATATATACCTTAACCCAAATGTTCGGACTACTACAATTTCATATATTAAACTTCTTATTTCTGGGTCTTATTTTCAATTCTTAAGCATCCCTACATTTTCTCATTTCTCATATTGACTTAAATAATTCATTATTACCATTCTATTACTTCATCAATTATTTATATTCTTATCTCTTATTTTAAAAATAATCCAGTTATCATAATTTCCCTAGTTAAACATATTCAATAAAAAATCAATTAATTATCAATCTTACTCCAGTACCCATAAATTTAAATTCATACAACATAGTACAATTCTGAATTATTTTCTTAAATTCTCTTGTTCCAATCTCAAATATTTTTTTCTTTATCAACTGTTCCAAATAATACACTTCAACATTTTTATAAAAGCCAGTTAAATATATCTAATTAATTCATAATCCAATATCATTTCAGCTTTCTTTTCTTATTTAGTTAAATTCCAAATATGTAATTAAGAATATTCCAGTTATTACAGTCCCCTTCATTAATTAAAAATATTCCAATTATTACATTCATCATACATCCATATAGTTTAAAATCACTTCATTAAAGATACAATTTCATCTTTTCTCTAGTATTCATTTTATTTATCCCATATGCCTCTTCCATTTCTTTCTCCCTTTCTATCTTTATTTTTTTTTTTTATTTCCCTTCTTTTCTTTTGTACTTTAAAATCCTGAACTCTCTTTTCCCTTTTTCTTATCTTTTCACTATTAATCCCAGTATAATCATTTTGTTTTTTAAGGTCATAAACTCATCTGTTTTGCTGTGTCTTTCTGATTGTTTTCCATTCCTTTTTCTTATTTTCTCACTGATAATCCCAGTGTAACCATTTAAATTTTTTATATTCTTTCTATTCCACCCTTTTTTCTTTGTTTGTTTCTTTCCCCTTTTTCTATTTCTTGTAATTTTTAAAGTTCTCCTTTTTATTATTACTACCCACATAATCATTTAATTTTCCATAATCAATCTCCTTGTCTTTGTCTTCTTCTTTATTGTCAGTCTCTTTTTCTTGCTTCTCATTAGTTATTTCTTTGTCAACTTGAATGTATCCTAAGTCAATTTTTTGGTCATCAAGTTTCAATTTTCCATGCAACATTGTGGTCATTTCCCTTATTTCCACTTTCAATGATAAGTATATTGTTTTCATCATTTCCTTAAGTTCCTGTACCATTTTGTTCTTTCTAGGTTGATATTATTCCAATTGAAGTTACGTTGTAATCCTCTTTTTTTCCCTCAAAACCAAAACACTTGTGAACAAACAAAGCCTCCTTAAAAATTCTCACATGCTGTTATCCATTTCAAAGTCCAAGTTTTTTTTTCCAAAACAGAGATTCAGTGTTGTAATAATTTTTTTATTCCTGAAGATGGCTCTCTACAATCCACAATTACAATCAACAAGCTTGAAAAGCATCCATTTTGTTTGAAGTCCACTTTAACAGTTTTTACTTATTTAATTTTTCTTCTTCTTCTTTTTTACCTTTATATACACCAAATCAGTTTAAAATTCAGTCCAGATTTGCCTAGTCCGAATTCCACGTTACATTCCAATTTAGTTTCAAGTTAGAGTCATTAACTGGTGCTTTCTATTACAAGTTTTTCTTCATTCTTTAATCTTCCTCCCTTTAAGGTTCCTAAATTAAAGAAGGATCTTTTTGGGTTCTTAATTCTAATTTTTTTAAAAAGTTCTCCAAATACTTAAATCCAAAAAAACAATTTTCTGATCGGGTTTTGTCACTTTATAACTTCCGCCTTAATGTTCTTCTTCCGTCCTTTCCCATACCTATTAGCTGCTTTTATAGCGCCAGGACATTTACAATTATTTTGAAAATCCTCTTTTTTTTTTCTTCCTGCCTATGAGTTAGATGTCACTCATCTGGCATCAATATTCCACTCAATTCTCCGCTCCTGCACAATGCTTGGTCCGGTTGCCCCAGTTTAATGGTGATCGTAATGGCCATCGCCCCCCGCTGCAGAGTCTGAGAGAATTTCCTCTGACCTCCGAGAAACTTGCCTGTTCCTCTTGGTCTTCCAAGGTGCCTCTCCTTCTTCCCTGTCCCTACAGGACAGATCCGGTCCAAAGACCCCTCTGCAATGGTTCATCAGCCCGGGATTTCACAGGTCTCATCAGAGCCTGCTAATCCCCGACTGTCTCGCTGCAACGCTTCCGGTCGAATCTCAGAACACACAGCTTTGAGAGGTGTCTGTGCTAATTATCTGGGTACTAAATGTAATTTCACCTGTTGCTTCCTATCTGTCAAAAAGCTAATAATCCACCTACAAGAAAGGAGAGGCACAGCAAGCTGAATCAGTTTTGAGTGAAGAATTTCTGGAATGATAGTATTGAAGGCCAAGCTGAAGTCTACAAAAAGAACCTGTTCTTATGTAAAACTATACAGGTAGTCCTCGACTTACGATCACGATTGAGCCCAAAATTTATATTGTTAAGCGAGACATTTGTTAAGTGAATTTTCCCCCTTTTTACAACCTTTCTTGCCACAGTTGTTAAGTGAATCTGGCTTTCCCATTGACTTTGCTGGTCAGAAGGTTGCAAAAGGTGATCACATGACTCCAGGACACAGCAACGATCATAAATATGAACAAGTTGCCAAGTATCTGAATTTTTTTTTTTATTGAAAAAGTTTTTCAAATACAAGTTTTTCCCCCTTTTCCTCCCTTCTTCCCTAACCCCCCCTCACCACCCATCCCCCCCTGTGACTTCTTCTTCACAACAATCAGCTAATTCATAATTACATAATATTTTACCATGCCCTTACTCACTCCTCAAAGTACTGACCCTTAGCAAAGTATTCTTATAACTCCGCTTTTCTCCGCTTTTCACAATCTACCCTTTTTCTCCTCCCCCAAACTTATAAAATATTATTATTATTACAACAACATAACCTTTACTTTTATATATATTATATATATTAATTTAACATTTCAAAGCAGCCTTCTCCAAATTTAACATTTATTCAGTTCTATCCGATTCTTCCACTCCCCAAAATATATGTCTTAAAAATCCTTTTTCTTAAACTAATCAATCACTAAACTAGCCTATTTCAACCCAGTTTCCTGCAAGATTACCATACACTACAATTCTAAATATAATCCACTGCCCACTCTACTAAAATATACATATGTCTATATATACATTCCATTTTATAAAAAAAGACAATAACTTTAAATTTATAATTCATTTAGTATCTTCTTTGATGTCTTTCCACTAGATTGTTAAATCCATCATCCATAATAGGGTAACATAACATCCTGGTGCAACAGTTTATTCAAAATCTTCAGTCATCTTCTGCCCCCATCAATAATAAATATCCTCATGTATATATAAAAATAAAAACAACCACCCGAGTGACATTATAATTATATTCCATATAGTTGTAATTGTGGTTTTCATCAGGATTATAAATCCCCATCATCTTTGTGGGTAACAGCCAGATCTTCTGCATGCCCCAGCATGACTCTCTTGCCTTGTAACTCAAAATAGATATAATATATTTATCGGTAAAAGAAATCCAAAATAGATAGTTCAAATCCAACAATGTAAGGCTCTTTCCACATCCCAAAATCACGGCATTGCAGAGATCTGCCACTTTCCTCAAGATAGTATTAAACGATAATTCGCCTCCAATATCTTTTCACATGTTCATTTATTTTTTTAAAATCCCTGGCTTCACTGTTGCTTGATTTAGAAACTACTATTTCTACGAAATCTGTTTCTTTTCTTTTTCTTTTGCGGGTTGCATTTCCATCCAGATTTCCTTCCTACAAGTTGTGTATCAGCTGATCGGTTGTCATTTTGCTTTGTAAATTGATCTTGTTGGTTTTGTTTTATTATCCCATATGTCTTTTCCTTCACTTGTATATCAACTGGTTGATTTACGCACTTGTTTGTAAGTTGATAGTTAATCACATTAGAATCAGATGACACTGCTCTCAAATTTATAGACAGTCCAGCTGGGGTATCCAAGGAGTCCAAAGACAGTTTATCTACCACAGCCTCTGTAATTTGATGTTTTCCCTTTATTTCCAACTCCAAGTATCTGAATTTTGATCACATGATTATGAGGATGCTGCAAAGGTTGTAACTCTGAAAATCTGTCATAAGTCACATTTTTCATTGCCATTGTAACTTTGAACAGTCACTAAATGAACTGTTGTACGTTGAGGACTACCTGTATATCTTGGGTAATCTAGTCTGTAGTTTGCCAGGTTTAACTGTAGGCCTATGAATACTGTATATGCTCTTACTTTATAAACTGAACCATGAGTCGAGGACTACCTGTATATAGCATGGATGGCATATGACAAAGTTTTTTTCCTTGTCCACATATTCTTTTACCTCCTGTGTTGCAGTTTTCCAGTTATTTCCAGGCATCTTAGAAATACCTGTTAATAAAAATAGACTTTATTTTGAAGTCTGTATGAAAAGTATGACTTTTAGAATCTTTTCTATAACCAAGTGCTAGCCCTTCTTAAATTCTTGCAATAATTGCAATACTATACATGTAGTCCTCAACTTCCAATCACAATGGAGCCCAAAATTTCCATTGCTAAGCAAGACAGTTGCTAAGTGAGTTGTGTCCCATTTTACTACCTTTTTTGTCACAGTTGTTAAATGAATCACTGCAGTAGTTAATCATATGACTTTGAGTGAATCTGGGTTCCCCCATTGACTTTGCTTGTCAGAAGTCAGCTGGAGAGGTTACAAATGGTGACCACGTAACACCAGGATAGTGCAGCTATGATAAATACATGCCAATTGCCAAGCTCAAAATTTTGATCGTCTGACTGGGAATGCTGCAATCGTTGTAAGTGTGAAAAACGGTCATAAGTCACTTTTTACAGTGGCATTGTAACTTTGAACAGTCATTAAGCAAATGGTTGTAAATCGAGGATTACCTGTATTTCTATGAATTGCACAGCTTATTTGAAAATGTAAGCAAAATTAAGCAAATTATTCTTATTTCTGTGTAAAAACAGCTAGAAATGGTATAGGTCATTAGTTGCCTAGGCTAAACTTTAGATGTGATTGCCCGGAAATCTTTAAAAAAAACAAAAAACCAGACGTAATTAGATACAATATTGGAGAGACAATATGTGGTTTAATATTTTTAAATATATTTGCATAATCTGCTTTATTAATAATGCACTGCAAATATATTACAGGTAGTCCTTGACTTACAACAGTTCATTTAGTGACCATTCAAAGTTACAATGGCACTGAAAAAAGTGATATGACTGTTTTTCACAGTTATACCTTTGCAGCATCCCCATGATCATGTGATCAAAATTCAGATGCTTGGCAACTGGTTTATACTTATGACCATTGCAGCATCCTGGGATCATGTGATCACTTTTTGCAACCTTCTGACAAGCAATATCAATGAGGAAGCCAGATTCACTTAACAAACAGGTTACTAACTTGTCAACTGCAGTGGTTCATTTAACAATTGTGGCAAGAAATGTCGTAAAAATGGGGCAAAACTCACTTAAAAACTGTCTCACTTAACAACATAAAATTTGGGCTCAATTGTGGTTGTAAATCAAGGACTACCTTTTGTATAGCAACAAGCCTTTCTTTTAACTGAAAATAAGATTTTAGAATTTTTCACAAGGAATTCTTATGCAAGCTATTTTATTAGCACTATTTCATGAGCTTGTTACTCATCTATGACTATGTTATTGTATGCTGTACATATTTTTGAAAAATACATACTAATTAAAAAGTTGTTCATCAAGTATCTTTCCTGATTCTTATAGGCTGTATCACAGCAAGCATGGGGTTTACGAAGTATGCCTTCTCTTTATCTCTGCACCAAACCTGGTGATTCTAAAAAAGGCTTCCCAAAAGGTAAGACAATTTAAAATATTTATCGCCAAAAAAAATTTTATTATTGAAGCAACATTAATTAAGCAATTGCTATTTTTCATGTTTTGTAGGATGTGAAGATTCAAAGTTTTGTGGGTTTTGTTATAGGATGAATGTTCTTCCTCAAAAAAATTATATTTAAAACTAAAATAAAATATTATTGCTCTGCCATTCCATAAACCATAATTCCCATGGGAAAATCCATTAAATGGAAAGGAGAAAAGTCACCCACGTTTATTCTTCTCTCCCTCTCTCTCCCTCCCTCCCTCCTTCCCTTCCTCCCTCTTGCACACACAAAGTCTCATTTCCTCATCCATGCAATTCTACAGTATCCTTTTTTCCCTTTCTGCCTGCCACCTCCTGTTCTTAGATCTGACTCTACAGGAATTAATATTTAAGCAAACGTCTTGGTAGTATCAATGAAAGTTTTAAAAATCCTATTTGACAGATATATGTAAATATTTTGTTATTAAACTAATAATATGGGTTCTCATAGCAAAATAAAAAGACTGTTCAGTAACTACCATATCATTCAAATCACATAATAAAAACACAAGCTATAAATCTCTGATATCATACACAAGAGGACTGACATCTAACCAAATGTGAAGACTTTCACAAGCCTTTAAATTATCCTTTTCCAATATGATGACCTCGAGATATGATAGTATTGTAATTCCATGCTAATTTTGAATGCTAGGAGTTATAGACCCAAAATATATGGGGAAGTATTTAATTTTTTAAAATATAACTACACACAAATTTAATATCTTTGTACAATATTAAGCAATGAAATTGGATATTAACTAGCACACTTGAGTGTAGTCTTTTCCTGCTTTTGGTAGAACTGTAATATAGGCCTGATTAAATGCTGCTGCTTTCCTTTATGAAATATCTCATCAGACAATTCACAGGATTTTGGCAGCAAAAAATCTTTAAATGTCTTATATCACTCAGTGGGGATCCATCCATTCCTAGTGTTTTACCACTTTCCATTTTGAAAATTATTTCTTTTATATCCTACCTACCTGTACCTACAAAGAGAGGAGCAAATAAAATTTATTTTTGTGTGTCATCTAACTTTAGCAAGTTAACTTTATTTAAAAAGGCCTTTATATCTTCATTTCATACATTCTCTGATTTTCTGCCTAATACTGGATAAAATTTTAAAAAATGGGCTTGCTGAACATAAACTTGATAGTATAATGGTATTATATAACTCTATATAGATCCAGGTTTAAAGGGTAATGTGACTCAGAATATACACGAATGCCCACTTAGCATCTATTGGAAATACTTTATAGAAGCTGCATCTTTTTTTGGATCCATGTGACTACCCTGTGCCACTGATGCTTTCTTTAGGGATCTCATAGGAAGAGCTAAGTGCATGTCCATACATGCTATTCTCAGGCATACTAGTGAAGACCACCTGGAAGTTACAACTGGACTAGAATACAGTGGCACACATAATGTGCCACTTCCTCCCAAGTGCAATTCAAATTGATAGTCATTAACTTTAAAGTTCTACATGGTACAAAACCAGGCCATTTGCGAAGCTGTCTCTCCTTGAAGGTATCAGCCATCCCAAGCAATTGGATAGAATGGGCACGCTTTAGGTCCCTTCTCTGAAATACTTTCATCTAGTGGGACTTAGGAAGTATGCCTTTTCCATAGCTGTCCCTAACTTATGGAACACACTTTCCTGGCAATGTGACAGACCCCACCCTGTTAGCCTTCCAGAAAGCAAATAAAACTGCAGGCATTACAATAAAGAGGTGGAGCCTGCAGAGAGTTGTTCGAATGCCCAGGAAGGTTGATGGAAGTGCGAGTTTCTAGTTTTTTATGTTTCTATGATTTTTATAATTTTATTGTTGTGAAAATTGTTTTAAAATATGTGGCCATACACATCTTAAATTAATTAGGAAATATATAATACTTAATTTGATTCTATATGAAATCATAGAAAGTCTGAAAGAAATTTACTGTACTGTATGATACAATGAATGTATGCTGTCTGGGAAACAGTCTCTGAAAAATTTATAATCACAATGACTTTTAAAATATTGCCTGCATGTATGCTAGCATTTTTCCTTAACAGCCCAAAATGCTGCTTATTTTCTGCATCATGAACTATAACATTATATATAGCAGTTTCTTACAACTTTTAATATATATATTTCAAGAAGAAAATATATCATTAGGTTTCAATAAATCAGAACTTGAAAACTTAAATAGCTATGATCTTTGAATTAAATATTTTATTATTATTATTATTATTATTATTATTATTATTATTATTATTATTATTATTAATTTAAATATAAATTAAATTAAATATTAAACATGATTTAATATTCAGGTTACAAAAAATGCAGCGTAATTGGTTTTTGCGTATCATGCTTTAAAATGTTTATTCTCTGTTTATTATAGTTGGATGATTAATGCAGCATTAGGTCCCTGATGGTTAAGTTCTGTAACTCTATTTTATCTAATAGTTTTAAAATAATTATTAAAAGGTCATATTGTCTCTATCAAAAAGTTTGTCAGTTTGATTTGAGTAGCCTGAAAAAAATGAAGACAATGAATGACTTAAAAAGCATTAGAACTTAATCTTCTCATGGTTTTCCAGTGCTATAATGTAGAAATAAAGAGGCAAAATTGTTTTGTGCTAATAAAACTAATATGCATAGATATCTCTTTCCCAATACATTAAAAAAGGATTTATTAGTTTGTCATAAATTACTGTTTACGTAAAAAAACAAAGCCTCATATCTTTATTTCATTGTTATGCTTTGCATGGTTAAATATCCTTGAAAACAATTTCTCTGCATACCTGCCATCCATGATGATAAACATTGTTTAATCAGAGCCACTTTAATTGCACTTGAGTGTTATGGAAAGATTTGAGTAGATAAAATTGTGGTGCCCTCTACTGAGAAGTAACCATTGTTTCTTAATAACTAATTGTTTTAACAGTTCAGTCGTGTCCGACTCGTGGTGATTTTATAGGCAAGTGCTCTCCATGGTACTCTGTCAAGCACAGCTTCTTTCAGTTGTTAGAAGTTCATTTTTATATCAGTTTTGATGATATTAAGCCAGCAAGTTCTTTGCTTGCATGTTCTTGATCCACTAACCATTCCTAGATTTTGACATCTCCAATGAATTTGCACATGTGAAATGATCAAAGTAAATCAGACATAATCTTATGATTTATATACATAAATGCATTGATATGTTGAAAAACGAAATAATAGTTTTATAATTAAATAAGTTTGATTATCAATAAGTTTGATAAATGTGTGAGTGTATTATATCTATATACATACACACATATAACATATATCAATATCATATAATACATAATATCAAACTTATTAATCACACATCTTCCTCATAGAGAGGCTTTTATTTTATTAAGTTATATATATCATACTGTATGTTTTAAGTCTATTACCCTGTTTCCCCCAACTGATAATAAACCCAATTGGGCTTTTGAGCGCATGGCAATAAGGTCAAGCACTTATTTCAGGGTTCAAAAAAATATATAAAACAGGGTCTTATTTTTGGGAAAACACAGTATATATTCTGAATTCATTATTTATAGAACAACTAAGTTTACGTAGGTAAAACCTGGCTAGAAAGAATATGTATGTGTGTGTGTGTATATATATATATATATATATATATACACACACACATACACATATACATACATACATACATATATACATACACTGCTCAAAAAAATAAAGGGAACACAAGCAGAAGACATCCGAGATCTGAATGAATGAAATAGCCTTATTAAATACTTTGTTCGTTACATACAGTAGTTTTGTGTTCCCTTTAGTTGTTTGAGCAGTGTATAAACTACTGTATGTAAAGAACAAAGTATTTAATAAGGCTATTTCATTCATTCAGATCTCGGATGTCTTCTGCTTGTGTTCCCTTTATTTTTTTGAGCAATATATATATAAAATAATATATATATAAAAATAAATATGTTTTCTGAGGTTTTCGCTGGTGTTTGTATGTAGGTCTTTGGTTATTTGGGTTTTCTCCCGCGTAAGATTGGAAGTGTCTTGGCGACGTTTCAGATAATCAGAGAAACCATCAAGGTAGAAAAACGCCCACACAGCATGAATAAACGAGATGATACCTCCCGCCTACCAGCCATTTGGAAACCCGCCCCTATTGACAAACGAGTTCCTAACACAAAGAATGACACCAGACTCACACTCACGAAAACCACAGAGGATGTCACCACCACACATCCACGCAAAAAGCAAACCAAAACCCACACCGATGATGAGGCACGACCACAAACCAGAAGCCAGACCACAGCTGCATCATTAGCCATTTTAAACCCCTCCAATCCATACATGAAGCAAACTGACACCCACCATGAAGATGTAGCACGACCACAAACGCGAAGCCAAACAACAGCAACACAGCTCACCAGCTCAAATCCCCCTACAACTCAGACTAACCCGAGCACAACCAAGCCCCCACCCAAATAGAACACACCCCCATCCAATCAGAGCACAGCCAACCCCCCATCCAATCAGAGCACAGCCAAGCCTCCACCCAATCAGAACACACCTCCACCCAATCAGAACACAGCCAAGCTCCCACCTAATCAGTTCACACCCCCACTGGCAGTTAAAAGGAAGAAACAGCTGTGATCACACATTGCTCCTGGAAGCACGAAGCCGAGAACACCAGCCTGAAGATGACGAATGAGACTTCGTCGAAACGTCGCCAAGACACTTCCAATTTTACGTGGGAGAAGACCCGAATAACCAAAGACACATATATATATATATATATTATATATATATATATATATATATATATATATATATATATATATATATATATATATATATATATATATATATATATATAATGAATGTTTCAAGTCTATATATATATATAGACTTGAAACATATGATGTTGGATCAGAGTATGTCTGACAAAGTTTATTAACAGCCAAGTCCTAAGTGTATCAAGCTAGTAATATGCGAAGGTTCCTAGAAGAAACATTTGTTAATGTTAATGTTTTATATTTATGTTTTTATCATATTGTAAGCTGCCCAGAGTTGCTTTGGCTAGTGAGATGGGCAGTATATAAATTTAATTAAAATATTTTAAACTGAAGGATATATTTTAAAATGTTTTATATTGATATAAAATCTAGTAGATATTTTTCTGAAGCAATTGAAATTTGTATCAGTTAATTCCACAGATCAGTTATACCAGAATTACATATCATAGTGATAGCCTTGAAAATATTTATGTAAAAATTATAATCTCTTCTGTGCCAACTCAGAAATTGAAATTAGCCAGCTGGAATTAGTACTGAAAGAGCAAATCCAACTATTAACCTGCCCAAAGTGGAGGTTGGTTTTCTTTTAAAAGCTGTCTCCTAATTCTTTCCCACAATTTACAGATAAGGGGAAGGTCATAACTAACTGTAAACCAGATGCAGCTGTAAAATTAACAGATGAAGATCTGAGAAAATTCTTGGCAATGAAAACTTTGGTAACATTTCCTCAGAAGGCACAGTTTCCTTTTGAGAGAACACCAGTTTTCTCTTCCACAGAAGGCTTAGGGAAGAGGTTAGCAGATGAAGAGCCATTTTCTTCATCCAGTTCTGAATCAGACTCTAGCTCTGATTCTGAAGATGATGACTTCAAAGAGAAGCCGCACAGACAAAAAGAACCATGCCGGACAACTGACAACAAGCAGTTAGAATCCGATATGATAAAAACTGCTTCACAACAAAGGTCTAAAAAAATACATTTAAAGAGCAAGAATTTAGGAATAGTGAATGCAGAGAGTCAAAAGCCAATAGAAGCTTTGTCTGGAAGCCAGGAAGTATCTCTCTCTGAAACTGATCCACGGAGAACTCCACAAAATATATCACAAAATCTGGAACAGGATGAAAACATTACAAAGAAAATGCAAAAAACTGAGATGCAAGAGAGAATTTTTGAAGAACCAGGGCCTGAAGTTTCAAGGGAAAGAATACCAGTGATAAAAACCGCCCTGAAGGAGGAGATCATCCCAGAAGTAGAAGTTCAAATTGAAGAACAAAGCACTCCACAGGGTATCACTTTATCTTCTTCTGCATTAGTTCTGTTGGTTGAAAGGATTTATATATATTCTGTCCTATATTCTGACTTTCCCGTTATTTGAAGTAATGTCTTGAAATGTTTCTTCCCGCTTCCTAATGTACTTTCCAAAGAAGGCCTTTTCACATTGCTGATGAACTGTTATACTCTTTTACAGTTATGTTCTCTGGTTCTCCCATTAAGCTTTAAAGGTGCTAATGGAAAATTTGGGGATGGGGAGGAAACAACATTCTATTTTTGCTACTGTTTCTTGTTTGAAGTGTTAAGGGAATTTAGAACATTCAAAACTGTGACGACCACATGAAAATGTCTTCATAAAGGAAAGGAAAATTTTGACCCTACTTGCTAAAGCACAAACTTTTGAGTGACCTGTTTTCAGACTTTTCTTCTATCTGCATTTGCTCATAGCTTAATGTTGCTTTTTGTTTGAAACTTGCTGTTTATGTGGTACTTTTCACTCTTTTTCACCCCTTGAACCTTTTGATAGATACATAAATCAGTTCTGTAAGGAAGCAAATTTACTTTGACCTTCTTGGGATGTGAAGAAAATTAGTGCCTGTAGGTTAGCAAAGATGTCACTGTTAGTGATTGAATCATTATGATGCATGTTTGCATCAGATAGTTTTCTTTTGGCTCTCTTGCTATCTGAATTTTCATTCTCTTTCACTCCTTTAATATTCTTAAAATATTCTTTTAATCACAAAATACCCCAAATAAATCCCTAAAGTGAATATAATTTTCTTCATATTCTAAAAACCTTCCCATGAAGCTTTCTCTGTTCATTTTTCTAAATTTTAAATTCTGTAGTATATATCAATATGATTTTTAAGATCTATTATTTTCAATAATCTATATCCATTGATAAACAAAGAGAAAATAATAGATACCAGTTGTAGTATGAATTAACAGATAAGAAACTTAAAATTCAACATGCATGTCAAAGTGATAAATATTATCAAAGATTTTGCAGTTTAATACCTAACACTCCCCACCCCAAAATCCTCAATTATTTTGAGTTCCAGAAGGGGGCAGCAGTTCCTGGAAAAATAATGGCAGAAAAGACATGTCCTGGCTCTCTTTCAGTTTAGCTTGGCTAGTCTAGAAAATTGGAACAAAGGTTCAGAGAAGGTAAAATTTGAAACTTCTAAAGCTGGCTATAAATAATAGTCTATTAAAATGCAATTGTATATAGGTAGCATTGATAATATAACTAAAAGCCATAGATAAATATTAATAGACATCCAGCTGGAAACACCGTGTTTCCCCGAAAATAAGACCCTGTCTTATATTTTTTTGAACCCTGAAATAAGCACTTGGCCTTATTGCCATGCGCTCAAAAGCCCGATTGGGCTAATCAGGGGATGTCTTATTTTGGGGAAAACAGGGTAGTACTGTAATTTACAATTATTTCAGTGGAAGAGGCTTAAACAATTACTAAATATTGCTATAGAAATACAGTATATTGAACACTGAGGGGTATATATCCAATATTCCCTGTATATTTACATTTATATAAAATGTTTTAAACACTGTTAAGGACAGAATTATTGGAAAATAATTCAATTGTATTGTAAAAGTATACAGTTAATAAAAGAATATAACATTCTTTCAAGACATTAAAATCCTCTGTCCAATCAATATTAAAAATCAGACTGAATACTTAATCTATAAGGAAAGTATCACTAAGAATAATTGTGTCTATCCAGAACATTTGAAGCTCAAATTTTGGATTATTATCCAGGCCTTTATGATGGTATATTATATGTTATCCTTTAAAATTATTAATTTAAAGCATCACTCCTTTGATAATTTATGATGAGGCAGGGTAGAGGGCTAATATGTTGAGTACAAAATTGAGCTATATAAATTAATGACAAAGGTGTTCTACGATTGAGAACGGGAGATGATTAGTTTCATGTTACAACCAGATTCCAATCAGTGACTGGATTCATATCATGCAAAGTAAATGCATGGTTTGTTTGGCTTTAGCTTTGTACAGTATGTGAACATATCACTATAATTTTCAAGCAGTGTCTTATGACACTGTGGCTTAAGTTTTGCCCTACCTTTATATTCCACCAAGTATTCAAAGTGGCCAACAAAACAAAATAAAACACAATTAATAATATAGATAATAATTTCCATTTAGAATGATACATAAACCAGGCTTTTATTGCTCATTCAGCAAACAGTAGCTAAACAAATTATGGCTTCATGTCAAACCCAGGGGTTTTATTAAAATAAAATTTCTTTGAAGGGTGAAGAACATATTTGTAGCTTTTGTGAAGTAAAAGAACAATTAGCATGTTTAACCCTGTTTATCTGTATGATGTAAAAACTCCTTTGGAAAGATATGGTTCTGGATTTATAAGAGAATATGCATGTTTTGGTTTATATTCTACTGCTAGAAAAACAAACCATTGGCTTGCCTATTTGATGGTGGAAGCTAATGTAAAATAAACATTGGAGTTTCAGTTACATGTTAGGAAATGCTCATCCCATGTATTTTGGTTTATTCCTGATTTTTGTTTTAAAACAAACATATTGATAATCAGTTGCAATTTAATACTGGATATTCAAATTCTCTTTAACGTTATTATATTCTTGACTATGTGTGAAATGTGGATATGTTTATCACACATGTAAATCATGTACTTTTTACTGAAATATAGCTTGCTTTGTGAAGAGAAGCTACATCTTTCCTATACTCAAACTTCCCTGAGGGAAATCTTATTGAATTAAAAAAACTGTTCATTGATCAACATTTCATAATCATAAGCCTATTTGGTAACTTTTATGTCCAGAACCTGTTCTATGTCACTGTGTTTTCCAGTTACATACATTCTATCGCTAAAACTATTTGGTATTACTCTGTCTTTCTTTTAAGCTGTCTTTCCTTATCACTAACTTTTATTCTAGCAGCTCAATTCCCAGCATTGCCATCTTATGTCATGTTCCATCTCTGTTGTGGGTGTCCTTTTTTTACTATCTTTTTCTTCAAAATTAAAGTAAAATCCAATTAATTTCTGGGAGGTTTTTTTTTTAAGGATCTACTTCTCTTGTAGCAATCACCAACCCCCTTTGTTGTTTATATTTTTTTCTTTAGCTTTCTGAGTTAATATAGCTAAGAAGAATATGACAAACAGTTAAGAGTGTATAGTTACTTCTTTATATTTAAAAAAGAATTATTTTATTAAATAGCTGAAAATGGACTATAAAAATGTTGATTTATATTTCAGCATATCTGTAGTCTATCAATATTTACCTTCCCCAGCACTAATATATTCATAACCCTATCTGTATGACACACAGAAGCTTTCCTAGGCAAGGGTTCTGACTCTCCTTCACACCAAATTGGGAGAAGGTACCTTGCAATACTTTGCTGTGATTGATAGTTCCAGTCATCATGTATTTACCCTGCTTACCCAAACTTAGCATCATTCACAACTGAATGATATGTTTAAGTCTTGAAAGTATTTTTTTTTTACAACTTATCAAGCTCCGCACAGGGATCATAGTTGATAGTAATAACTTTCAGTGTTAGTAATACATCTGCATTTGTATCCAAACCTGATTTCGCTAGGAACTTTGTTTCTGTTCTCTGGGTTTACAGTATTTCTTTTCTTCTTTTAGTGGCCAAGCCATCACCTGAAACGGCTCAAGAAACATATGACATTTCTACCTACAAGAACCTGCAGCACCATGAATATCAACCATTCACTTTTGTGGATTTTGATGTCTTGTTATCAAAATTCAGGCTGCCTCAGCCATCCTCTGGGAGGTTATCTCCAAGACACTGAACTAATTGTGGGAAACAAATAAATTCCGACAAAATATTATGCTTGTGGGTGTTATAAATTAATATTAACATTAATTCCTCAGTTATTGCTGATTTTATGACAGATTAGTTCTAATAATTAATGATAACTTGATAATTCCCTTAGTTCATGCTACTGTGCAGTGTCATAGCAGGCGGGTGATAAATATCTATGTAATCCTGGTTCATAAAAAGCTTAGTACCACTTGCTGAAGGATGTTATTTTATCCTAAAGTAATATATAATGAATAATGTTATTATAAAAGATATAAAAGTAATTGGCTTTATGTTTTACAAAGCCTGATTCTGAGTATGGATAGCTGACGATGGGTTGCCTGCCCTAAAGTAAAGAGAATTGGCATGTAAACACTGTTCCCTTAATTTCTATATGAGATTTAACTTGATATAGAAAATTGTTTTGGAGATGAATATCAACTTAAAGACTTGAATAGGGGATTATTGACAACAGCCTGTTCTTTCCAAAATTTGCAGCAAAAGCTCTTGCAAACAGCTGAAGAGGCATTTCTAGGAAGAGTTGTTTTGGATTCCACTTTGCCAGATCAGGTAGAAATGAAAAAAACAAGAAGAAATCAGTTTCTGCAGTTATTTGATATATTAAAAAAGAAGAATGTATCTACATTTGTCTCTTAGCAGTGCTGATATACCTCCTTAATATGACGCCATTATGCCCTAATTTTTCAACCCCTCACTTCTAGTAAACATAATTCTGGACTCTTGAGATTAATTTTCAAACATGCTTCATTACTAGTTTTTTAAAAATAATTTTCTCTACAGCAAACAAAAATGTATTTTGTTTCATGTGATATAAGCATGATTTTAGAGCTGTGTTCATGCTGAAATCTTAGTTCTTCTGAGGGTGTTTTGTTTTTTGCTTAATTTCATATTTCTTGAAATAACTGAAATAGTGATCATTGTAATTAGTACAAATTTAAGAGCCTTTTTATAATCCAGTTACTATTACTCACTTTAAAAATGCTTATTAGTTTCAACTTTATTACATAGTTAAATTGAACTCCTGCTGTTCTTTTGTATTTTGTATTTATCAGTTTTTAAGCATCTGAACATCTGGGTCAAATCAGAGCTTTAAGATAAACATAGTTAATTGCTGCAGTTGAGATCTAAAATCTGAATTATCTAGCAGTTAAACTTAAGTCATTTAAGTAAGAAAAACGTTGCAAAGATGTGTAGAGCATAGAAATATTTTCCCCAGAAATTGTTAAGAACAAGACCTGGAAAAATGGTCAGGATCCCACACTCTTCAACACAAGTAGTCTTCAACTCACAGCCATTTGTTTAGTGACTGTTTGAAGTTATAACAGCACTGGAAAAAAAAGATGATTGTTTTTCACACAACCGTTGCAGCATCCTCATGGTCGTGATCAAAATTCAGACAATTAGTAACTGGCGTGATAATCTTTTGCAACCTTCTGACAAGCAAAGTCAATAGGGAAATCAGATTCACTTTTCAACTATGTTACCAAGTTAACAATTGCAGTGATTCACTTAACAACTGTGGCAAGAATAGTCATAAAATGGGGCAAACCTCATTTAACAACTGACTTGCTTAGCAGCAGAAATTTGGGGCTCCGTTATGGTCATAAGTCAAGGGCTACCTATAGTCAACTAATAGGTCAGTCCTTATGAGAACCTAAAAAGACTTTTGGAAGGTATGTCTGTTTTGTTTAATTCTATCCCATTTCTTTGAATTAAAACCAACAAATACAAAGCATTACCATTCATACCCCCATTATTAATTATGTATGGACAAGAGTGCACTTAGTATTGAATTTTTATTTTAATTTGTGTTTAGTTCCATCTGGGGGAAAACTAATATGCAAAATCTAATACCAGGTTTCCAAGTGTGTTTCACATGTATATTTTTGGGAGAGATTGAATATTCACATTATCTAATTTTGATTTCAGAGCTACTTCATAGACGTACTACATCTAATTATACTAAATATAGTATATTTAGACTTCAGCAAGGCATTTGGTAAGCTAGAAAAAAGTGAGATAGATAGCATCACCATCAGATGGATTTGTAACTAGCTGACAAACTGTACTCAACAAGTAGTCCTTAATGGTACTACGTCTACATGGAGGGAAGTAAGCAGTGGGGTACTACAAGGTTCCATCTTAGGCCCAGTACTCTTCAATATCTTCATAAACGACTTAGATGAGGGAATAGAAGGGGAACTTATCAAATTTGCAGATGATACTAAGCTGGCAGGAATAGCCAACACCCTAGACGATAGGCTCAAGATCCAGATGGATTTTGACAGATTTGAACACTGCCCTAACTAACAAAATGAAATTCAGTGTAGAGAAAAGTAAACTCTTACACTTAGGCAAGAAAAACCAAAAGTACAGGTGTAGATTGGGAGAAACCAGGCTTAATAGCAGTAACTGTGAGGGATCTTGGTGGACAACCAATTAAATATGAGCCAACAGTGTGTAGCGGTAGCCAAAAAAGCCAATGCAATCCTAAATTCCATTAACAGAGGGATTCAATCAAGGTCATGTGAGGTACTAATACCATTCTAGAAAGCCTTAGTAAAACCACACCTAGAATACTGCATCCAGTTTTGATCACCACACTATAAAAAAGATGTTGAGACTCTAGAAAGAGTGCAGAGAAGAGCAACAAAGATGATTAGGGGACTGGAGATTAAAACATGAATGGTTACAGGAACTGGGCATGGCTAGTCTAGTGAGGAGAAGGACCAGGGAAGACATGATAGCAGTGTTCCAATATTTGAAGGGCTGTCACAGAGAGGAGGGGCTATTTTCCAAAGCATATGAAAGCCAGACAAGGAATAATGGATGGAAACTGAACAAGGAGACATTTGACCTAAAAATAAGGAGATATTTTCTGACAGTACAATCAATCAGTGGAACAGCTTACCTTCAGAAGTTGTGGGAGTTTCATCACTGGAAGCTTTCAAGAAGAGACTGGACTGCCATATGTCAGAAATGGTGTACGATCTCCTGCTTGGGTGGGAGGTTGGACTAGATGACTATTCCAACTTTGTTATTCTTTTATTATTCTGTTATTACTTTTGAAATAAAGCCTTGGTCTCCTTGATACCAAATATTTCTCTCCAGCTGTGTTTTCTCTAATTCATCCTGTCAAATGGTCATGTCAGCAATAAAAGAAAAACATTATTTTGGGTTTTTTATGCATTCATACAATAGCTTAGGTTTGTAAGGGAAAAAAAGTCTGATTTGAATTATTGGAGTAATAAATGGATTATATTTATGGAAGCACATATATGACACCCTTCAAATTGTTAAAGCAGATGTGTATTTTTGCAGGTTTATGCAACTGCTCCAGAATCTGCTCCAATTTGTATGTGCAAAGTCTGGAAAAAACAGGACGTCTTTAATAATATGAAAAGACATGGTTTGTACATACTCATACATGTTCTGAAGCATCCCTGAAGGGACCTAAAATGCACCTTCTCAACCATCAAAGAGTGTTACTGTTGAAATCCAGAAATAACTGGATTATGTAAATTACTAATGATGAATTATAACCAAAATTGTGTATCCATGTCATACCCATCACAGTGTTTTATCTCCATTTCAGGTAGCATACTGCACATTCATTATAACACAACATACAAATTTGTATTCCCGTTTTGATTTATGATATAGGTAGCTAGGCCTGCTTAAATTTAAAGAAGACAGGAAAAGTTTCTTTTAAGTTGTTCACTATAATCTAAAGTCAAGGGTTGGTAAAGTGAGAAGAAAACTTAGCTAACAAGTGTTATAATAAACTTTTCTGCTAAAGACAATGAGGAATTGTTCCTTCATTTGTAACTGCTATAAAATGGCATGAGGCACTCCTTTATGGCTGCAAAAAGCATTGGTACTGGTAGAATTCCAACAATGAGAATAAAGTTGGATATCTGAACTAGAAATAGCTGAAAGAATACTATGTAACAGTAAATTCAGGTTCAAAAACAACTGGGTTTTCAGAATTATATATATATGTAGGTCTTTGGTTATTCGGATAAAAATTGGAAGTGTCTTGGCGACGTTTCGACGAAGTCTCATTTGTTATCTTCAGGCTGGTGTTTTCGGCTTCGTGCTTCTAGGAGCAATGTGAGATCGCAGTTGTTTCTTCCTTTTAACTGCTAGTGGGGGTGTGAACTGATTGGGTGGGAGCTTGGCTGTGTTCTGATTGGGTGGAGGTGTGTTCTGATTGGTTGGGGGTTTGGCTGTGCTCTGGATGGGAGTGTGTTCTGTTTAGGTGGGGGCTTGGTTGTGCTCGTGTTAGTCTGAGTTATAGGGGGATTTGAGCTGGTGAGCTGCATTGCTGTTTGGCTTTGCGTTTGTGGTCGTGCCACATCTTCATGGTGGGTGTCAGTTTGCTTCATGTATGGATTGGAGGGATTTAAAGTGGCTAATGATGCAGCTGTGGTCTGGCTTCTGGTTTGTGGCCGTGCTTCATCGGTGTGGGTTTGCTTTTTGCGTGGATGTGTGGTGGTGACATCCTGTGTGGTTTTCGTGAGTGTGGGTCTGGTCTCATTCTTTGTGTTAGGGATTCGTTTGTCAATGAGGGCGGGTTTCCAAATGGCTGGTAGGTGTGTGGGTGTTTTTCTATCTCGATGGCTTCTCTGATTATTCTGTTGTTAAAGTGTTCAGTTTTGGCGATAGTTCTGGTCTTTTTAAAGTCAGTATCATGTCCTGTGGCTTTGAGGTGTTGGACCAGGGAAGAAGTTGGTTCCTCTTTTCTGACTGAGTTCTTGTGTTCTTCAATGCGTGCACTTATTCTTCTGTTGGTTTGTCCAATGTATGTGGTGGGGCAGGCGGTGCATGGGATTTCATATACTCCTTGATTTTCTAACTCAATTTTGTCTTTGGGGTTCCTTAGGATGGTGGATATTTTTTCCACCATATTTTATTGTGCAGAATGCTGTCTTGATGTTGTGTTTGTGGAGGATCTTGCTGATTCTGTCTGTGGTGCCTTTTATGTATGGGAGGAGGGCTTTG